TAGGAAATAGTAGAGCCAGGATTCAGATCTAGGCAGCTGACACCAACATTCATGCTCTTAATACTCTTTAAGCTCATACACCAAAACAAAACGTTGTACATATATGATGAAGTGGTTTGGAGAGATTAAAGGACATTTTAATTAATTATCCCAAACCAACAGAAACCTGTCAGGCTGGCTATTCAGGCTTAAGTCACTTTATAGTTATCATAGGAATTTTAAAGGAAAAGTAATGAAGACAGACATTAAAGGATTTACACCAGTATAAGCACAATTAACTAGGTTCCTTTGTTTCTGTAGTAATTAGGATGTCTTATGGCCTTGACCAAGTGTGGAACTTTTTCATATATTTATTTCAGGTAATGAGATGAACAAAGGTGATGTGAAAAACACAGGTTAGAAACTGCCATGGCCCGATAGGGTCCACTTTTAAGTAAAAGTTGGCTTGACTTGGTATGAATAATAGCAAAGGTATCTCAGATTCAGAGTTAATTTTAGATGTCTGCCTGTCCCAGTCCTGTTCCATATATTGTCAGTATCACAGAAAGTAAAGTCCAGCCATCCTAAGGACATACTCAGGAGTTTGGGCCCATGGATGAGTTTGGTTTGTGTCCTCCAAGTCCATAGAGACTGGAGCATAAATTCAAGCAAAATTTGGAGAGCTCCTTGTAAGGTACCATTTTAGGAGCTAGGTAGGATGGTAAATGATCTTTTCCCCTCCAGTGGCTCAAATTCCATGGTAAAGTCAACCACCTCAAATATTTTTGGTGAATAAAAAATGAATTGTAAATCATAATAACAAATACCATTGAGAACATGAGAGAAGTCTTCTTTTCCTCCAGCCGTTGAACTTGCATTGAACACTGGCCCAATCTGAGCCAGATCCCCGAGGAATGCCCAGAACTGACTGACTGAGGCTGCATTACTGTCCGGACCTGAACCAGTCACAGGTGGAATGAGATTACAGTGGTTACACTAGTCAGAGTCCATCGTGAGAGTTGAGTGCAGTCATTCTCCCAAAATGAGTGACTGCTGCACAACGGGGAAGGGGTAGGATAATCACCGAAGAAGCAGCGGTAATGTCCACTAAAAATGCTAAACGCTTGATGCTTACTTAATAGAAGGAGGACTGAAGGGAGTTCTCTTGGAGGTAAAGGGGAAGCAAAGATTCTATCCCTGGGAGATGTGGGATTGGAGTGGGGACTTTAAAGACAGTGGTGGAGACCCACGACTAAGGAATTTTTAGGCAAAGTGTACAACATGAACAACATAAAGAAAGAAAGAGTATGGGAGGGAAGACTAGAAAGCAGAATAATATAATCGGAGAGGAGAAAGAGTGAGGAAGAAGGGAAATACGTGAGCAGGTCAGAGCTGCAGGGTTTAAATACCGGCCTGAGGAGTCGGAACGTATTCTGTGTCTAAGGGGGAGCTGTTGAAGGTTTTAAGGAAGGTTATGGCATTGTTAGGTCTATGTTTGCCAAGACTCTAAAGATTCTTCTGCATCAGGGTTGAGGCTGAATGCCTCCAAGTCACCTTGGGTTAGGCTAGTGTTTCCTGGCCTGGCTCAGCCTTCAGGGACTAGGGACAGAGTCTCCTTTACCTCTACTGTCTTGTCAGATTTTGATCTAGCTCAGGGACCCTGTTTCTGCCATTCTACATATATAAGTCTGGTCTTTCTGAGACAGCTGGTCACTGCTCTGTGGACCGGCTGAAGGATCCTGCCAGGGCCCTGGGGAATTTGGCTCCTCATTCCACACTTAGCTTCAGGACCTCCACATACAGAAGGCAGGGTTCCTAGCTCAGCTCTGATCACCAAGGATTCAGCAGGTAAAGGCAACTCTGAGGCCAACATAGGGCCAACTCCAAAGAGGCTATGCACATGAATTTATTGCGCCTGTTTAGGGCCAGATTCCCAAGGAAGTCTAGGAAGGATGTGATGGGAAGGAGAAAAGGAGAGTGCTTACCCGTCTCAGGTTCAAAGAAATAACATTGTAATATAAAATATTACAAAATTATAGAATAAAATTATAATTTGGTCTCCAGGTATGCTCCAGTGGTAATAAGAGCACATTAAATATTTACCCAGCCAAATGCAGTTTGCTCACTAGGACAAAAATTCTGTTAAATTCTTTATGGGGGCTACACTCTTCACCTGAGTTCTCAGTGAAAGTCCCTCATCCAAACAGCTCCAGGATTAACAACCTCTGCTCACAGTAGAAGGGGAAAAGGGCAACATCTTATTCTCTGGAGTAAACAGAACAAAAATAACTGAAATGGAGGCACATACTCATAAAAGTATGAAATTTCAAACTTGGGTTAATACCATGTATTTTCTATCCTTATAACTGAGCAACAAACGCAATCGACCTACGGGTAAACCCAGGGCATGTTTCTGAGCCACTATTCCTCGAGTGCTTCCTTTGTGCTAGGCACTTGGCTAAATACTTAATTTTTGTTTTGTCCAATATGGTGGCCACCATCCCCACGTGGCTAATGAGCACTTGAAATCTGGTTAGTCCAAACTGAGATGTGCTTACATTTCAAAGACTTAGTATGAAAAAAAAGAAATGTTAACATATCTCACTAATATTTTTATGTTGATTATATGTTAAGATAATATTTTTGATTCATCAGGTTCAGTAAGATATATTATCAAAATTAATTTTATCTGTTTCTTTTCACTTTTTAAAATATGACTACTAGGGGGCGCCTGGGTGGCTCAGTCGGTTAAGTGTCTGCCTTTGGCTCAGATCATGATCTCAGGGTCCTGGGATGGAGCCCCACATTAGGCTCCTTGCTCAGCGAGAGTCTGCTTCTCCCTCTGCCTCTGCCCCTCCCCCACCGTCGTGTGCTCTCTCTTTATCTCTCTCTCTCAAATAAACAGATAAAATTTTTTAAAAATACGACTATTAGAAAATTTTAAATTACATATATGGCTCACATTGGTGGCTTGCATTATATTTCTATTGGAAAGCATAGTTTTAGATTATTTCTGTACTGTACCCGTACAACAACCATATGATGTAGACTATTAGTAGGTCTCTTTTCCTGAAGAAGAAACTGAGGTATAGAGGCTGCAAGGGACTTGCCCAGCATTATTAAGTGGTGGGGCTGTGATTCAAACCCAGGTTGGTCACCCAAACTAGCCACTATATTATATTGACTCTTTAGCTTGGTTTATGAGTCAACTCTTTTTCCGGATGACTCAGTGTAGAGCTCTGGGTTATGATGGGATTCCCCCACTAATTGGCTGCATGAGTTCAAGTGATTGTCTTAATCTCCTTATGTCATTAGACATGAGCTTAGTAAGTCTAATGAGTCAATAATGCATTACTGTTTTATTTGAATTGCTTCTTTGGCTTCACAAACTGTGAAAACAAAAATTCAGTTCAACCTAACAAATATTTCTTTAACATCATTATGGACAAATGAGAAACAGCCCAAATAAACACTATCAAATATGTTAATTGCTGAGAGGGAGTTAATTATGTTTGGAGGAGCACCAGAATTAATGAGCAAAACACAGTTTAATGTCTCCATTTGTAAAGAGAAGAGCCATGCTCACTTGAAGCTTAATGAAAAACAGATATAATACTGTTTTTAACTGATATTGATTATATTGGGGGCTCTACATATGGTCATTTTTCAAGTACTCCTACAACATTTACGCAAAGAATCTTCCAGAACTTGAATGCTTTTGAACAAAGAAAGGCATGCCAACTCTAAAAATACAAGCAAAGGAAAGTAAATCCTAATGTCATGGTTAAATATTTCTTTTCTATTATTGTCATATTTTAATTAAACTATACTGGATGAGAATTCAAGTCCCCTCTAATACACTCCAAATGCTCCTTGTTTCCAATTTTTTAATGCATATAGTGATCATAATCTGAGCCCCACTTGAGAAACAGCCCAGGCTTCAGGCTGTAGTTGACCCTAAAAAGCTATGAAGCAGGATTTTTTTGGAACATTTCTATTCAGTTGTGAGACTCCAAATCATAATCTCTGCTCAGGTCTGAATGCAAATCAGAAGACCTAGAATCCTCTTCAGCCGGGCTCACATAACATTGCCATGGAATTTCAACAACACCCCTGCATTATCCAGGACTTGTCACTAGCCCTGGCTCCTTGCTTCACCATCTGTCCCGTGTGTTTGCTCTTTAACTGCAATCTAACTTGGCTTTGGAGCAGGTATTGTTTCAAACTTTCTAATCCACAATGTGTTCTTTGAAATTACGTCTCAGTGCCACCTTGTAACTATTTCTCTGGCAACATTTTTTTTTCAACTTCAGGTGTAGCTCCTTGGTTAATCTTACTCTTTAATCCATGATGCTCCATTCTCAATTGGGTGTGCAAGGCCCTCTCTTATTCATTCATTCATACATTCCTTTTCTTCTCCATTCTCCACTTCTATTCCTCTGCCTTCTCCATAAGCAACCATTCCTAAGTGTTTGAAGTATATCCTTCTCTCTGTAGGAGTTCTTGTAAAACTTATATTTTTGTTTTGTGTGCATGCATTTTTAATTTATATAAATCATATTGTAGTAAAAAATCTCACTGTTTCTTTCTTCACCCAGCACTACATTTTCAAAAGTCTAACCATGTTGCTGAATATATGTCTAGACTGTTCCTTCTAACCAATGCCTAGTTATCCATCTTATCCATCTGCATCACAGAAATGGACACACACATCACCCTCAACTCACCGATACTACTAATAATGCTGTGACAAATATCCTCATACATATGTTCCCTATGGGTGAGAATTCCTCTGGATTCCTATCCCTGCAGGGGAAATGTTGGGTCATAAGGAACATATGCATCAGGGTCCAACCAGGAAAGCAGCAGCCACACTAAGTGAATTAAAACTGAGGAATTTAAATGCAAGAACAGGTTCCAGAGGTGATGGAAGAGCTGAGAGCCAAACAGAGGATATGAGATAACCCAGAGATTAGTAGCAGGAAAGCCCCTACCACATCCAAACCACAGGAATTACTTACAACTGGAGCCTGAGTCTGATGGGAGTTGGAATCATATCGGGGCTGCCTGGTGGGAGCTGAAAGTGAAGGAAGAAATATATATACACCCTTGGAGACAAAGGGAGAGAGAAAATACCCTGTTCTCCACCTGCCCCCCGCCTCAGATCTCCTTTCAGTGCCTTCTGCTATTTGAACCCACCCCCAAGTGCTGCCTGTAGGTGCCAGGGCCGAGGAGGGACAGGCAGGGGCAAATGAGAGCGCAGACTGTTGTAAACACACTGTTTACTTGGTTTGACTCAGTCCTTTCAATTGGTCTCCATAGTAACAGCACTGGTTCCACTCCTACCAGCAGCAAATCTCTACATCTCATCCACCCTTCACGGCCCATCATTCTCCAAAAAGTAGCAGCTGAGATCTCTTCCAACTTCCTTTGAATGTGTCTAGCCTACTACAGATGCCTCAGGCATCTCCTCAAATCTACCAGCTCGCTGGATCTCAGGGACCCACCCATCCATTGGGCCATAACCTCTCGAGGCCAATTGAAATGATTATAGTTTTCATTTCTGTAAGTTCTTTTTGGTTCTTTTTCAAATCTATCTTTTAAAAAGTTTCTTGTACTTCGCTCATATTTCCAAATCCCTCTATTACTTCCAAAACACATGAAACATGCTTATTTTATGTACGTAAACATATATATTTATACAAAACTAATCTTATTTATGTATATTCTGTATCTGAACATCCCAATACATAAAGTCTCTGTGATCAGATTCTGTTCTTTGTTGTTTCTGCTGTCTCTTAGTCATTGTGCCTTTTTTCCTCGTGGGTTTTATTTTTGTTAGTGAGCTCATGTCCACTGTAAATTTATCTGTAGGAATTCTGTAAGAACTGGCTGGGGGTACAGTGGTCTAGATTCCTTGTAGTCCTGCAGGGATGACTGGCAATATTTTGTAAAGACACCAAAGGTTTCTACCAGTCCAGGACCACTTTATAATTTCTCAGCTTAAAGTTCTGTTGTGTTTGTTGTTCAAATGCTTTTTTTTTTTTTTTCTGGAAAGTACCATGAACTAAGTATTGCTGTGTATGGAGTAGAATGCTACAGAGACAGTAATTAGTCCTTGAGCGGGAAAGATGCAGTAATAGTGTTTGGCAACCCTGTTATGGGTGTTTGAGTAATCCTATTGGGAAATAAAACGGTTACACTACCTGGTAGTAAAGCTAGAAAAGACCCCCAGAACCTCATTATCCTCACTCTTAAATAACATCTACTCATATATGTAACACATTTTACCTTTGTGTTGCAAAAGAGATGGAGAAGAGAGAGAATGAATGAGAGATCCTCTGAGTAATGACTATAATTTGGGTTTAGAATGTGATGAAATAAAAAGAAGTTATTTGTCTCTTACTAGATACGGAGTCAAAGTTACTACATGGAGCAAATAATCAACTTGCGAGGATGCAAAAGTCATGAAACAGGTGGTTCCTTATTAATTCGTGCAACAAACACCAGAAACCAAGACTCAAGCTGACAAGGACCAAGTCTGTTTTATTCCTCATTGCATCCTTAGTGCCGAGAATGACCATAACAGCCAAAATTTGTTGAATGAGTACCTACTGTACGCCAGGCCCAGTACTAGGAGCAAGAGATAAAAACCCTTACCCTCAGTCTTATGAAAAAATCCTACTTCCTCAAAGTAATAGAAGCTTGAATCTGCCAACAAATGAACATGAAAGATATTACCAAAGATAATGAAAACAATGGATCAGACTCCTTATAATCATTACAATTGTCGCTTTCTCCATTAACTGACTCTTACAACAGCTCTGTGAAGCAGGCAGGGCAAATATTACTACCCTCCCCCACCCCCAACTGAGATAACACTACTGCTCAGCAGTTCCTGAGGGATTCTTAATAGCCAGCACCGTTAAGTGCTTTACATCATTATCTCTTTGATCTGCCAGTAACCCTTATAAGGAGATACTATTATTTCCTCCATTTCAGACTAGAAAATCAATGGAGCTAAAAAACAGTTTGAGTAATTGTGCCCAGGGGTGCCTAATTATTAAATAGCTGAGTCAGGAGTCATCTCAGGTGGTGGGACCCAGGGCTCTACACTGCATGGAAAAGGCAGCTGGACACAGATAGCAAATGAAGATGCTGGAACTAGTGTATCAGCACTCCAGCCAGCTTGAAGGGTTAATTTGCTTCAAGCTTATGCACTCCTTGCTTGCTGACCAAAGTCCCTTGATCTGTAGCAGAACTGACTGTCCTTGAGATTTGCACACCACTGGCCTTGAGGAGTGAAGGACCAAACTTTCCCAGAAGATAAGGTCTGACTACATTAGAAAACAGCAGCCATGGATGCCAGCAAGTCTGTTCAGGGTCATGACAGCAGATGACTAACTGCCTGGGCACCTGCTTCTCCTGCACACGGCGCTCCCCCCCCCCCCCTCCCTTTTCCTACAGCTTTCCCTTTAAAAATCCTCCAGCTTCACCTGGATGGGAAAGATGGTCTTTGAGATATTAGTCCACCACCTCCCCAAGTCTCTGGCTTCATGCATAAAGCAACCTTTCCTTTCCTCCCACCACCACTTGTCTCTAGATTGTTGACTTTCCAGCCTTGGGCGGCCAAACCTGCCTTAGGAACTGGTTCTGTCCCATAACACTAGTACCAGTCAGAGCAACTTTAATAGTATCCAGACAGTTAACAGATTTCCAAAGGTGAAGCTAATTTATTCCCAGAGAGTTTGAAGACGAGAAGACTCATCTTTAAATGACTAGGAAAATTATCCCATTGTAAAGAAACAATTTAAATACAATTTAACATTTGGGGACAGGAGAATGCTTTGCTGCTCTTTTCCTCTGGAAGCAATGCTTAGTATTTAAGTCAGGAACACTCGGAAGTAGTAAGAGAACTTAACAAAACCCAACACACATCCTCATGCCACCCATACTTCCATGGGCTTCTGCCTATCGGGACCAACTGGATGGGAACTTCACCGCTAGAAGTGGGTCCCGGCAAAAGAATCAATCAACACGAGAGCGGGAAGGGACTCTGGAAATCAGCCGGTGACCAGGTATTAGTACTCAGCCCTCAGTTCGCAGAGGCGGTGAGGCCTAGGGATTTCCAAGACCTCCAAAAAACAGTCCATGCTAAAAGGGCTTCCTACCACCCGAAATCAGTCTATCCCTTTCCCTCCCTTTTCACTCTTTTTCTGTTGCTATCATTCCAGCCGCTTCTTCCTTTCCTCCCACAAACCCTTTTCGAAATGCTGGTGAGCAAAACAGGCGTGGTCCCGCCCACCGTAATTTCTGGGGGAGGACGATGCCTTCCCGACAGACTGCCACACGGTTAAACCAAGGACCTGCTCCTTCTCCCTCGGCCCGCCCCGGCCCGCCGCCCCTGGCTGCAGCGAAGGCCGGCGTGCGGTGGGGGTGGGGGTGGGGCGGCGCGGGTGGGGGTGGGGCGGCGCGTTCCCGGGGGAAAGCGGGGTGCGCAAGGGGGCGCCTGCGCCGGCCGGCGCGAATCTGGCCGGCGCACAGCTCGGCGGTCTCCTAGCGACCCGGGCCGCCGGGAATACACAGCACCGAGGCCCGGCTGTCGTCCCGGAGCGGGGGAGACCATGGCCGAGGCCTGGCGGCTGTGCGGACCGGCGGCGCCCACCCGGTTGCCGGCGGGCGGGACCTGCGGGCCCCGGTAAGCTCCGCGCGCCCGGGGAGGCGCATCGGGTGGGTGCCGCGTGCGGGCGCCTGCACGCCCTGCTTGCTGGGCGGCGGGGGGCAGATGGCCGGGGAGGGCGCGGCTGGAGGCCCCGCCTGCCTTTTCTCCCCACCTCTCCGCACCTAAATGATGATGATTATTTTTTTAAGATTTTATTTCTTTATTTGACACAGAGCGAGAGACAGCGAGAGAGGGAACACAAGCAGGGGGAGTGGGAGAGGGAGAGCAGGCTTTCCGCGGAGCAGGGAGCCGGTTCGGGGCTCGATTCCAGGACCCCGGGATCATGACCTGGGCTGAAGGCAGACGCTTAACGACCGAGCCACCCAAGTGCCCTGGCACCTAAATGATTATAATATAAAATATAAAATAACCAGCGCCCGACGCTCCTGTCGCAAAGCACACTTTTTTTCTGCTCTCCTCACAACCTCCCAGGGGCTGTAGATTAACATAGCCATTCCAGATGGGAAACTGAGGGCCACAGAGTCCTCCGTGGAGACTGCCTTAGTCTACCACTCACCCTTCTCCGGGTTAGCCAACTGGATCTGGAGCCTTTGGCCCCCCGGCCTGTGACTGTGGCCAAGCTGGGCCTGTGTCTGGGGGAGAGCCTCAGACACTGGGGCGGTCTGTTGCCATTTTGGATGGTTGGTATCACAGTCACAGGGCAGGAACCCAAGGTTTTTTTTGTCTCTGAGGATTCCTTGAGCTATTTATGAGAACGGAATTCGGCCCTCTTGGAGGCAACCCCATATGGTGGTAGATTCCAAAGTCTAGATCTAATCACAAAGGTGGGAGTCTAAGGCCAGTTCTCATCTTGCTTGCCTCGCGACCTTAGACAAGTTAGTTGCTCCTTCTGGGCTCAGTTTGCTCAACTGTAACATGGGAACAATAAAATGAATCAGCTTTATAGGATTGTCCTGATGATTAACCGACATACCACACGGAGAGCAGTTACTGGCACATAGTATATACTGTATACATTTTAGCAATTATGAACCCTCTGGGAATCTTTTTTCCCTACATTTTCAAAGTTTTTGTTTTGAAATAATTATAGACTTACAAGTAGTTGCAAAAACAGTGCACAGGTCCCATGTACCCTTCCCCCAGCTGCTTCCAGTGGTACCATCTTAGGTAACCAGTACTTTACCAAAGCAGGAAATGGGCATTGGCACAATATATTAGTTAGACTGCAGACCTTGCTTGGATTTCACCAGATTTTGCTTGCAGTTGTGTGTGTATAAACTTCTATAAAATTTTGTCACATGTATTCATCAAGACACAAAACAATTTCCTCACCACAAGGGAACTACTTCTTGCAACCCCTTTATCAGCACCCCTTTCCCTATGCCCAACCTTTGGCAACCAATATTGTTCTTCATTTCCATAATTCTGTTCTTTTGGGGATGTTAGATAAATAGAAAAATACAGTATAAAACCTTTTGAGATGGGCTTTTTTTCACTCAGCATAAAGCCCTTGAGATCCATCCAAGACACCATATTAGTAGTTTGTTCATTTTTTTAAAAAGATTTATTTATTTATTTGAGAGAGAGAGCATGGGGGCGGTGCAGGGGGAGAGGGAGAAGCAGACTCCCCACTGAGCAGGGAGCCTGATGTGGGGCTCAGTCCCAGGACCTTGAGATCATGACCTGAGCTGAAGGCAGACACTTAACTGCGCCACCCAGGCGCCCCAGTAGTTTGTTCATTTTTATTGCTGGTGTGGATGTACCACTGTTTGTTTATTCGTTTTACCTACTGAAGGACATGCAGGTGTTTCTGGTTTTTGCTGTTGCTATCAACATTTGTATACAGGCTTTTGTACAAACATAAGTTTTCATTTCTTTAGGATAAATGACCAATACTCTTTTGTAATTCTTACAGATGGAGATATCCATCCACATAGCAGATGCTAATGACTGTGAAAATAGTAAATGTTTAGAAAAAATGTTTTCAGTTTTATTTTCTGGGTCAAGCAAAATTTTTCATAAACCTAACAAAATGCAGAGGTAAGTTTATTAGCTACGAGAGGCAAAGCGGGGTAGTGGGAAACCCTCCTGCTGTAGTGGTTGTTTGTTCATCTCTCAGAACTTGGTTTCTTCATTTGGCGCGGAGGAGGTGGACTAGATTTCCTTCAGGTTCTGCCAGCTCTAACATTCTGAGGCTTGAGCTACCTGCCATACTTACCCCATTTCGAGTGGTATAACTGTCCGTAAGCAAAAATATCAGTCATCAGATTTGATTTCATGAAGTGCTTGGATGTTTGAGTTAGTTGTGAATGTGTAGAAAATAATCTTTGTAAAGATTTCTAATATTATAGAAGTTTACTTGCTAGTAGGTCATGCTGAATGGGTCATCAAATCTTAAGGTTAGATGTAATTTCAACACCCTGCCACTTAGCTATTTAAGAGTGATTTGTTCATTTCAAAGAGCAACTTTTTGTATCCTTTCATCTAGATCTTCACAGTAGAGCTGGTTTAAGACCCCCCCCCCCAAACATGCACATACAGCAAGCAAGACGTTTCTAGGACTCATAAGGAAAGAATAGGGGTTAAACTAGAACCTCTTAAAAATGCTTTGTACCTATAAAGATGAGTGCAACAAGGAGTAGATTTGGTGTAATGAGCCATTACAGATGAAAGGGGCCTGGAGGTGGAAGAGGCTTCAGGAAAAGACACCAATAATATAGAAATATCTGACTAAGGCAGTGATGTATTAAGAGAACGAGTGACCTGCCCTTCAGCTGCTCAGGTTCCAAATCCTGACTTAGGCAATGGCTGGATGTGTTAGATTATCTAGGAACTGGTCTCATTTTCCTTCCATCAACTGCTTCCATCTCATATTTATACCCTAACAACTCAGTGCAGACAGGGGCCTGGTGGGTAAGGAAACTGGGTGAAGCAGGCTGGGTAGAATAAAGCAGTAGGGAGGGGTAGAGACTGTGACTAAGAGAGCATAGGACTTGTCTATAGGGGACAACCATTATACCAATTGGTGGCTCCATGAAAAGGTGGACCCAGTGTTCCCAGAGAGCCTGATTTTTGTTCTAGATTATGTATGTGAACTTTTTTCTATGTCAGAAGCTCTAGTGTAGTGCTTAAGCACCTTTCTCTGGAGTCACACTACCTGGATTAAAATCCCACCTCTACCACTTATTAGCTGTGGGATCTTTCACAAGTGTTTGTTTTGTTCTCAAACTTCTTTGTGCCTCAATTTCCTTATCTATAAGTGGGAATAATGCCAGTACTCGGTATCTACTTCATTAGATTGTTATGAGATTTATTTATTTTTTTTTTAAAGACTTTTATTTATTTATTTGAGAGAGAATGAGATAGAGAGAGAGCATGAGAGGGGGGATGGTCAGAGGGAGAAGCAGGCTCTCTTCCTAGCAGGGAGCCCGATGCGGGACTTGATCCCGGGATTCCAGGATCATGACCTGAGCCGAAGGCAGTCGCTTAACCAACTGAGCCACCCAGGCGCCCATAGATTGTTATGAGATTTAGGTAAGTTCATACATGTAAAGCATGTAGAACATGCCTATTATATAAGAAGTCCTTGATATATGTTAGCTGTTCTAATTCTTATTCAAACAGAAAAGGGACCAAATGACAGGTTTGTAGGCCCCATGCAGCCCATGGACTGCCAGTTTGAAATCTTTGACCCTCTGAGGTTAAGGGGTTAACTGAGGCCCACAGAGGTTAAATGAAGTGCCAAGGTCATTTGGCTAGTTAGGCGTGAATGGTCCCTGGGATGCAGGTTCTTCCCACTGCACTATGGTCTTTTAAAGGATAAGAAAAGGTCCCTGGAGGGGTTGCAACTTGTGACAAGGAGAATGGATAGATGAACCAGGTGGTAATAATGAATTAGATTTACACCTAGTGACATGGATGGGACTTTATAATATGGTACTTGGCAAATCAGTAAGAAATGGAATAGTACCATTTATGTAAATTAAGAATACATGCACATAAAAGAATGATACAGATATTACAAGGAGTGTACAAGCAAAAGGGTACATTTTAAATCTGTGAGAGGGGTTTTGCCTGCAGGGGGGGCAATTAGAATGGGATGCGGGATAATAGCCTAAGGAAACAGGAGAAGGGCCTTGCATAGGCCAGAGATGATGTGCGGTGAACTAGGAGTCTGATTAGCTCAACCCTCTCCACAGAACCCCTCCTCTCTTACCTCACTTCCTCAAGAAAGGTGGAGGCCAGCCTCCTTACAACCTCTGTCTCCCGCCCCAAGTCCTGTGCTCCATACGACCAGGCATGTTGTCTTCCAGGTACAAGGAGGGTCTACCTTCCAAGTGTTTCACAAAGCACAGGCACAAGCCGACGTGTCCCACCTCCCTGAACAGCCTGCGGTGGACGTTTGTGAAGAAGGGACTGGATGACTTCAGGAGGGGCTGCCCTCCTTGCAAGGGTCTGCTCACTCGGGGTCCTCAGGAGGCCTTTCTCCCCCAGATCCATCACACAGCTCCCCGACCTGCCCCAAAGAAGAGGCAACACAGGCGGCCCAAGGAAACAGCCCTCTTTCCCAAGCTGTCACCAGTGCCGCGAGCACGGAAGGCATTCCTGGCGGACGGTGAAGCCCAGCTGACCCCGCACCCTTTGGCTCTCTACCCTAATCTGGGGGAAGACATGCCTGTTGAGGTGACCTCCTGACCTAGGGCTGTGGGAGGGCCTTGAAAAGAATTCTCCTTGGATATGTGGGAGCTCCTTTGAGGGGGTGACATGCTTGCATGGTTGGGGGCACGAGGAACGCCTCCCAGGGTGAGAGTGCTCATGGGGGCTGGTGCAGACTTCCTTTCTCTGCTCCCGGGAAAGACATTGGCAGCAAGGCACTTGCCACTCCCTTTGCTTGCTATGAAGCCACACAACTTATAAAGGTCCAGTAAACCGGAAACATTCGACTTCTTTTCCCCTGAAGGTCTACCAGTCTCCTTTGCTTGGGACTTTTGGAGGGCAGAAACCAAGGGCGGAATTGTCCGGTCTTGGCTTCTGTTACTATAGCCTGTGTCAGCCGGTGTCCATCGTACTTAACTAACGGCTGGGTAGGCGGCATGGGGGGACCTGAAAAGTCGTGGGGAAAAGTCACCGCATCGTCAGGCTGGGTTTGGAGGGCAGCTCCAGTGTCCCGGGCTGCTTTTGACTCTGAGTGCCATAATCCTTAGCGTCTGGCTCTTTCTTGCGCTTGAATCTCAGGGTGGCTTCCACGCCTCCGCATCGGGTCTGTCTTTCAAACAAGAGGGCGGAGGGTGGGGGGCGGGAGGGCGGGGGGGATGGGGGTGGTGGGAGCAAAGGTTAAAGGGTCCGTTCCAGCTGACTGTATGGGAGTCTAGAAAATTGAGTTTCTTGGTTGGGCATTGCAACGGAGAACAAAATCTAGAATACAGTTCTGTTAGATTCGAGGAAAAAGGCGGCATGGATATTGGGCAGGGACCTAACAATACCTGCTACCCACTCCCGTCAACGTAGTCTGTCCCCTAGGTCAGTCAGCACGGCTGACTTCTCTGCAAAGCCCTTCCAGGGCCCTTTCTTAGGCAGAGTAAAGTCCTCGCCCTGGTTGGAAAGGCCCTGTGCATCCGTCTGCTCTCCGCCCCATCCCTGCTCCGCTCCCCCTCCAGCCTCACCGCCTACTCCTCTGCTCTCATCTGGCTCCGGCCGCCCTGGCCTCTTGCTGCTCTGTGAACATGAGCACGAGTCCCCACGACTTTTCAGGTCCCCCCATGCCGCCTACCCAGCCGTTAGTTAAGTACGATGGACAACGGCTCTTGTCACCACTGGGCTCGAATGAATGAATAAATGATTAGTGGCAGAAAAGACTGTAGAAAGGACAACTAGAATTTCTGATCATTTATTTTCCACTTGGGGCTTTCCTCCACTGCCTCCTGCAGGCCAGAGCTTCTGAGCCCATGACAAGCAGATTATCTCCACATACCCTCAGATGGCACTTGGGATGGTGGCCCTTATTTCCATGTCTCACCTCTCCAGAGAGGTGTGTTGGCTTCTTTCTGAGGCAGGATCTCTTTTTATGGTAATATGATGGCCACAGGCTGCTCTAGATTTAAATTCTGCCAAGAAAAAGAACACCTCTTTTTGCATGCTTCCAGCAAAATCCCATGGCCTAGTTCCCATGGGTAAAACTTGGGTTATGTGCCTGTTCCTAAACCAGTCACTGGTTCCATTGGACTGGATTGTCCTGAGCTGCCTGTGGAGCAAGGTTGGGGTCCCAAAGAAAAATCTAGACACTGTTATGTGTGGGAGGAAGAATGGATGCTGGGCAGTCAAAAACTATAGAAACCCTCTAGAGGCACTTGGCTCAATGGGGCAGTGAAGGACTAGGGTAGGCCCAGGGGCACTATTCCGTCTAGAGGAGATCCAACCTCAGCACAACGGCCGCATCCCTAATGTCTAGGTGGGGGACACTTCCCCACAGCGCCCAGCACAGGACTCGCGCAGAAACCGAGGAATGGCATAACCGCTGGAAAAGCAAAGCAAAGGGCATGTTGGTCTGTTCTGTTTTAGAATCAAGGGGCTTTCTTTCTCGGCATGTTTTTCTTCCCTCCAAGGCTGTTTTCTATTTTTAGCTCTTATTAAAGGTGCTGGAAGTGCTGGATCCCGACAGGAAACTGGAGGACACATGGGCTTATTGTCAGGGCGTCAGGAAAAGAAAAAAGGAATCAGCCAAACCTTTAAAAAAGCATTCTACCCAAGTCGACCTGGGACTGTAAGTATTGTTCTTAACCCCTTGTTGGTTCTGTCACCTGATGAAACATTTGAGGACTTACCTTCTCAAAGCTCCTTTTGAATAATTTCTAGAAGCAAAATAACTTAAGTGCCCAAGGAGAAAGGAAAGGAGCCTTGGGTCCTACTGTGAGTAGTGTTTATTTCATAAATGGCTGTGAATTATCCAGCAATAGAGCCGACACAAGTATTTGACTCTAGCACAGCTGTTTGGGAAGAGGAAACTGCAGAAAACCTGGTTAATCGGCCCATAATGACTCTTTGAGTGATCTATGTCAGAAGTCTTTTACTCAACATGATTGGGACCAATAGTTGGTTGGAAAACAAAACAAAACGAGATTAACACAGGGAATCAGAAAAGATGATACTTAAGTACTTGAAACATTTTATTTTATCCTAAAACATAACTGTATATTCACTTGCTCGTCTTTTAGTGTCAAACCTTTTTGGAGTACGTGTCTGCTTGAAGTTCCCAGTCATTGTTTTTGCATAAACCACACCAGTAACGTCACCTTCATTGACCCTTTCCAAAGCACTAAGCTTAATTTTCACAGACGCCTCCTTCTTTTGTATCACACTCTTGTATTCCCAGTTCACAAATTTAATCTGAAATGTTAATGTAATGATAAGTATACTACACAAAAATAGATTTGGGGGGCACCTGGATGGCTCAGTCGGTTAAGCATCTGACTTCAGCTTGGGTTGTGATCCCCAGGGCCGGGATTGAGCCCCATGTAGGGCTCCCTGCTCAGTGGGGAGCCCGCACCTCCCTCTCTGTCTGCCCCTCCCCACCCTGGTCTCTCTCTCTCAAATAAATAAATAAAATCTTGAAAAAAATAGTTTTTGGATACAAATTCGACTTGTGAATTTAAATGAGGTCACTGGTGGGCCCTCAGGAGTGTGGGTGAAGGAGAGAGCAGCCAATCCACAGCCCCCAGCCCACTTACAGAGGACCCAGGCCCATGGTCAGGGTGTGTGGAAGGGGCCATGTAGAGCTTTTATTAAATTATACATGTTTGCTAAAGTGAGACACAAGGTGACAGGAGCCCAACCATCCTGGCCCCTGAGTGTGCCCCCTCATCTTTGCTTTTTACATTATTTTGCTCAGAACCTGGGTGGGGAAGAGGGAGGAGTGTTATAAGTAGGGATACACTTGGAGACGCCAACAGTGTGGGTCACTGTGGCCCTAATGAGCATCTTTGAATTTTTTGATCCTCAGTGAACTGTTAGCTAGTTCTCTTTATGCAAAACAAAGCAAAAGAAAACAAAACAACAGTACTTACTGAGTACCTGCTATGGGTCATAGACAATGTTAGGTTCTGAGGATATAGTGGTAAACGGATTAGGACCCTGTCCTCATGGTGAGTGCAGCGTGGTGTGGAAGGGAGCAGTGAGTACTTAGAGAAGATATGCATCTTAGTTCACAAAGCCATATGTTTATAAAATACCACTTCTCTCTCTCTCTCTTTCTATTTATATCTGACTCCAAGCCCTCATCCCACTGAGCAGCAAACCAATCATGGTCATTATTTGTACTATAAGAAAGCGGATGGGTCCCCAATAATTGCAGGACTGATCTTTAACTTCTTTCTGGTCTTTGGGACTCTTCTCTCCATTCTTGCTGTTTGTGGTACACTCTGTACACCCACCTGTCTCTTCTCACGTCACCCACAATATCTAGCATAATTGCTGCAATCAGCTTGGGCTTCTACACAATATATGTTCTGCCTTTAACCATAGGCAGTTCTCCTGAAAAAATCAACCCTGAAAAAATCTCCAGGGCAAGGAATTCAAAACAAATGTGTTATCTACTTAAAAGGAGGGAAGATAATAGTATAGAGGAAGTGAACCAAACTAGTATCTTAATAAATTATCATCACAAAGTGAATGTATAATTACATAATGGCAAGTTTTTCAGCATAGCCTTAGCACGTTCTGTTAGCATATTCTTATACAGCGGCTGCTGTACAAAGTAACATGAATTTGGTGGCTTAAAACCACAGAAATTTATTATCTCACAGTTCTGGAGGCCAGAGTCCAAAATCAGTATTACTGTGCTGAAATCAAAGTATCAGCGGGGCCATGTTCCTTCCAGAGGCTCTAGGGAAGAGTGCACTCCTTGCTTCTTCGAGCTTCTGGTGGCTACTGTGGCCATGGCTGTGGCCACATCACTCCAGTCTTCACGGTCAACATCTTCAAATCTGTCTGCTCTGTCTTCACATCCCCTTCTCCTCTGTGTGTGTGTGTGTGTGTGTCAAATCTCCCTGTGCCCCTCTCTTACGAGGACACTCATGGTGGCATTTAGGACCCACCCAGATAATCCAAGATAATCTCCCCATCTCAAGCTCCTTAAATTAATCATATCTATAGAGATGATTTTTCCAAGTAAAGTAACATTCACAGGTTCCAAGGATTAGCACCTGATCTCTTTGGGGGTCATTATCAGCCTACCACAGCATGAGGTAATATCTCTTCAAAACAACTTTCATTGAGCTCAGAGTCTTTCCTTTCCTTTAGAGCAAAACTCCATGAAAGTGGAGTCCATACTCACTTCCTCTTCTTTCTTTAACTCACCAGCACTCCAATGGATCTGCCCTTGGTCATGGTTGCCATTGACTTCTATGTCACCTAGTCCGTTCTCGGTGATCATCATTCTTGATGGGCCAGTAGCAGTTGACACGATTGATGATGTCCTCTTTCTTGAAACACTTTTGTTCACCTGGCCTCTGGAACACCCCCCATTCTTGCTTCTCCTCCTCCTTCAATGACTTCTCCTCAGTCTTTGTTTGCTGGTTCCTCCTCATTTTCCTTTTAACCTTGAAGTGCGTCAGTCTTGGACATCTACCGAGGTGACCTCATCCTGCCCATTTTATATGGATGTTCAACATTTGCCCTTGGATGTACACTTGCCATCTCAAACTCAACAAGTCCACACTGAACTCTTGATTTCTTCCCCAAACCTACTCACTCTTCTGTCTTTTCCAGATCAGTAAATAGCAACTTCATTCTTCCAGTTACTTTTGAAACTGCCAACAAATCTTAATGGCTTTATCTCTGAAATATATCCGGACTCTCACCTACTGTATGACTGTCAGTCTGTTCCAAGATAACACCATCTCTTGCCTGAATTATTGCCATAGTCTACTAAGTGGTCTCATGGCCTCCACCCAACGTAGCCCCTCTCCCTGCCTATTTGTCACACAGTAGTTAAAATGATTCTTTTAAAAAGTTACATCAGCCTCATTCCTGTGCTCAAAATTCTCCAGTTAAGGTACACATAGGGAATGTAGTCAATGGTATTGTAATAGCCTCATAGGGTAACAGATGGCAGCTAGATCTGTGGTGAGTACAGCATAACATATAGACCTGTCGGATCACTAAGTTGTACACCTGAAACTAATGTGACACGATCATGTGTCAAGTATACTTCAATTTTAAAAAATGTGCTGCAGGATACATATGATGACAATAAATGCTATGGTTTTTATTTTAAAAAATTCTCCAATTGCTTGCTTATTCAGAGTAAAATCCAAAGTCTTACAGTTGCCTCTAAAGTCTCTTATGATCAGGCCCCGTTACCCGTCAGGCTTCACCCTCCTCTCCTCTGTCCTCCAGTCACACGAGCCTCTCTGCTGCTCCTTGTCCACTCTCAGCAAGCTCATGCCTTGGGGCCTTTGTACATGTTCTTCTTTTCTGCCTGGTGTCTGCAGTTTAATTCTGCATGGTGTGATCCACTTCTTCTTTTGGGTCTCTGTCACTTTGGTAGCGAGGCCTTCTCTGTAGAAATAAAAAGTCCCCTGTCAACACTATCCATCCCTCCTGCCCTCTTTTATTTTTCTTTATATCACTTGCAATCACCTGGCATAGGCTTACCTCTTTCCTATATGTCTCAATCTTAAGTTCTATGAGAACAGGGTTTAAACTTTATTTACAGCTGAATCCTAATGCCTGGAGCTGTGCCTCGTACTTAGTTGGTGTTTAATAAATGTTTGTTGAATGAATGGATGGATGAATTAATATATGGGTGCTACAAATAAAAGGAAGTATGGGTTCTGGGGACAGCCCAGGAATACCTCCTTGAGGAAGGGATATGTATGTTGGAACATAAGGGGGATGAGGGAATGCAGAAGGCATTGCAGTCAGATGGTACAACATGTGCAAAGGCCCTGTGGCTGAAGGGAGCATGGTGAATTCACGGAACTGAGAGAAGGCCATGATGACTGGAGCTCAGAGAGTAAGGCAGGATGGTAATGCCAGAAGCATCGGGAGATACAGGCAAGGATCAGGCCATGAAGAGCCTTGGAAACTGAGTTAAGACTTAGGTCTTTAATGGGAGAGTAATAAGCTATTGAACACAAAAACCTGTACCTGAACGTTCATAGCAGCACTATGCATAATAGCCCAGATGTCCACTAACTGATGATTGATAAACAAAATGTGGTCCATTCAGAAAATGTAACTTAGTCATAAAAAGGAGTAAACCACTGATACATGCTATAGCATGTAGGAACCTTGAAATGTGATACTAAGTGAAGGAAGCCTGACACAAAATGCCATATATTATAAGGTTCCATTCAGATAAAATGTCTAGAATAGGCAAGTCCATAGAGACAGAATGTAGATTACCGGTTTTCAGGAGCAGAGAGAATGGGGGAAATGAAGAGTGACTGTCAGTGGTTATGGAGGTGCTTTTTGGGGGTAATGCAGATGTTCCAGAATTAGATAATAGTAGTGGTTACATAACTTTGTAAATGTATGGAAGCCACTGAATTGTACACCTTGAAATGGTAAATATTATAGTATGTGAATTATATCTCAATTTAAAAAGAAGCTATTAGGGGCGCCTGGGTGGCTCAGTTGGTTAAGCGACTGCCTTCGGCTCAGGTCATGATCCTGGAGTCCCAGGATCGAGTCCCGCATCAGGCTCCCTGCTCAGCAGGGAGTCTGCTTCTCCTTCTGACCCTCCTCCCTCTCATGCTCTCTGTCTCTCATTCTCTCTCTCGCAAATAAATAAAATCTTAAAAAAAATAAAAATAAAAAGAAGCTATTGAGAGGTTTAATTGAGGGTGAAGGGTGGCCTCATTTGCTATGACCAGATTTATATTTTGAAATTGACTGTTTTAGCTTCAGTGCTGAGAATGGATTAGGTGTTGGGGGTTGGGGCCCTAAGAGAAGATCAGAGACACCAGTGAGGAGCATTTGTAACAGTCCAGAGATGGAGACAGAGTTAAACCTACCAGATTTGTTAAGGGGCTGGATTTTAGGGATGAGAGAGAGAGAAGTCAAGGACATCTCCTGCTTGTCAAGATTGCCTATGGCTTTAGCAGACTCCAAGGACAGTAATTTGGCACATATCTTAATAAATGGTACTCATAATTTCAAAAACTCAACTTATACTGGAAAATGCCATATACATTTTAATTATTATAACTAATCATGATATACTTGCCTTTATGATATGGATGAGAATGTAATTTTGGAAAATTAACGTCTACCTTGTATGAGCTTGTGAGAGACTTTAGAAATGCATGCATTACCATCTTCTTCTCTCAAGATAGTGTTTGAATGTGGATCACTACATCAAAAACTAATGATGTATGGTGACTAACATAACATAATAATAATAAAAAAAAGATAGTGTTTGAAATCTACTTGGATTCATGGTGTCTCATCTTGTAAGTCTTTGATGATCTCATTATCCTTAGTCCCAAGAAGACTCCTGTGTCACATCCAGGTCAATGGCTTTATGAAGAAAAGAAGCCAAACGAAACAGATTTGCTCCATAAAGATGGTCCTCTTTGTTATGAAAATGTGCGCAAAGGAGTTAGGGACTTCTGCAACTGGGCTACTACTTTTGTAAGTTAGTAGTATTACTTACAACCTACTTTTTAAAGTCAAGCTCAGAGTTGCTATTATTAAAAAACAATGTTAGGATATGATCTAAGTCAAATAAAGTCATAAAGGAATTTATGATTCTTCCACCATTTATGATCACAAATGTTTCCTGTAGATGATGTTTCTGGAAAGTTTGCAAGCTTGCAGCCTATTTGAGTGTTTATTGTTTATATGTCACATTGCTGTTGTTTCTTTCTTTCTTTTTAGTGGCTCTTTTTCTTTGCCAGCTTTATTGAGATATAACTGACATAACATTGTGTAAGCTTAAGGTGTACAATGTGATAATTCTATATATATATGTATATTGCATATAATATATTGCATATAATATATATATATGTATATTGCAAAATGATTGCCACAATAGGATTAGTTAACACATCCATCACCTCACATAATTACCTTTTTTGAGTGTGGTGAGAACACTTAGGATCTACTCTCTTAGCAACTTTCAAGTATAAATACAATTTTATTAACTATAGTCACCATGCTGTATATTAGATTCCCAGAACTTAGTCATCTTGTAACTGAAAGTTTATATATTTTGGCCAATAACTACTCATTTCCCCCACCCTCTTGTTTCACATTTTTATTTTCCATTTCAATGTCCTTTTTTCTCTTTGTCCTTTACTCCTTCAATTCATTTTTCTCAGTTATATTTATCTGTAAGTACTCAGACAGCTATGTTTAATCACAACCTTCACAAAAGGTATTTCTGACATGAGTAAACTTTTGTTAGTTCTTAAAATCTTTCCTTGCCCTCCTTTCGAGAACCCATTTAAATACCTATTTGTGTTCTTGAGTCCCTGTAGATGTCTAATTCCTTAGGTTTTTCCTGGATTTAAGACCCACTAGGATTTGTAATCTTCCTCCCCCATTTTTTGAAAACATTAGTTCTGTCCAATATATTATTTAGGACTAGTTCATTGGAAAGTGACCGAACTATAATTCAGACTGGATTAAGGGAGGTAAGGGAACCATCCAGAGGTCCTAGGAACCTCAGGTATAGCTAGATCTAGGGGTTAAAATGTTGTTTTGTGTTCTCTCTGTCTCTTGGCTGCTCTTCTCTATCTGAATCCATTTATCTGACTCCAGTTTCAGGTGTGCAATGTAGCGATTTTCCAATTCTATACATTATGCTATGTTCACTGCAAGTGTAGTTACTATCTGTCACCACTTAACACTATTACAATACCATTGATTGTATTCCTATGGTGTACCTTTTATCCCCATGACTTATTTATTCCATAACTAGAAACCTTTACCTCCCACCCTCTTTCACCCATTGCACCTATTCCCCCACCCCTCTCCCTTCTGAAAACCACCAGTTTGTTCTCTGTATTTATGAATCTGTTTCCATTTTCTTGTTTGTTTGTTCATTTGTTTTGTTTTTTAGATTCCACATATAGGTGAAGTCATGTGGTATTTGTCTTTCTCTGTCTTATTTCGTTTAGCATAATACCCTTTGGTCTATCCATGTTGTCACAAATGGCAAGACCTCATTCTTTTTTATGGCTGAGTAATATTCCTGTGTGTATGTGTGTGTGTGTGTGTGTGTGTGTGTGTGTGTGTGTACCACATCTTTATGCACTCAGAAGTTTGTTTAGGATTAAACAGACTGAATTTTTCTCAGCCCATTAATTCCCTCAGGGACTCACTGCTTCTGGCTGGTCCTAAGTTGTTCCTTAATACACCGACAAAGTTCTCCAGAACCCCAATACTTCTTGTCCCCAGTGAATGCTGTCTGAGTATTTTCTACCTCTCCTCCAAACTACCTCTTCTCTAGCCATAGTCAAATGCCTCCTTTAGATTAAAGAAGAATTTCACCATTTGTCCTTGATTCATGCAATGTGATATTCTTCCAGGGAAGTTCAAACATTGATGAAGAGTTCATCCTGAAACAGTTTGACATTGACTATCAGAGTAAACCAAGCCATGATGTGCTCCACACGATAAGACTCAACCAGCCTCCTCTAGAGCTAAAGAAGAGAGTGGGGTTAAAGAAACTGCAGGAGCCACAGTTTTTCCAGAAACTAGACTGTGAGCAGAAACACCAGAAACCACAGGTAATTGCCAAAAGAGAAGACTGAAAATCAAAGAAAATTAAGTTGGATTAAAATCTTAAATGTTCTTGAATTCTGGTATTTCAGGAGGGGGGGGGGCTGGCCTTTTTCAGTAGAGTTCTTGAATTTTTTTTTGGTGTTTAATAAATATTTGTTAAATCAATGAATATTTAATATACATAATAAAGCTAGTTATATAAACAAGGCATGCCATTCAGCATTATTTTTTTAAGATTTTATTTTTTATTTGAGAGAGAGAGAGCATGAGAGAGAGAGCACAAGCAGGGGGAAGGGGCAGAGGGAGAAGCAGTCTCCCCGATGAGCAGGGAGGCCCATGTGAGGCTCGATCCCAGGACCCTGGGATCATGACCTGAGCCAAAGGCAGACGCTCAACTGACTGAGCCACACAGGCACCCCCAGCATTATTGTTAATATCTGAATATTCATTGTTTTCTCTATGTGTTTATATTTTGAAATCCTCTCTATGTGTTTTATATGTTGAAATTCTAACAGGTGATGGAAATATACATGAAAGTTTATTATTCCAAGAGTTAAATGCTGCAGTTAATGATCATTAAAGTTGTTTATTCTTTGTCCAAAGAATTCATGAATTTTGGGGGGAGTCTTGTTGACCACATTCTTGAGCACATGCTTGCCAATTATTAACAAATTGCTCAGTTTTTCAATACCACTTGCCCGTGAAGATAGAAGAACAAGGAAACAGAGGAGAAAAAACAAGCTGTGTTCCAAAGGGAAGTAGAATGGACTTTTAAGTGCTTTTCTACTTTTCTATATGACGTACAGCTGCAAATACATATGTACATGAATCAAATTGTATCAGTCCAACAACAGATTGTTTTTAAAGATTTTATTTATTTATTTATTTACATACTTATTTATTTGAGAGAGAGAGAGAAAGCAGGAGGGAGAGAGAATCTGAAGCAGACTCTGTGCTGGGCACAGAGCCTGACATGGGGCTTGATCCCATGACCCTGAGATCATGACCTGAGCCAAAACCAAGAGAGTCAGAGAAGCTCAACCAACTGAGCCACCCAGGTGCCCCAAGTCCAACAACAGATTTAAGTACCTAAGTGGTGGTCTGGGGTGGGTGTGGGTGTGAGGAAGTTCCTTTCTCTGAAAGTGAAAAACAATATATTATCTCTACCCTCTGTCTTTTACGTGTGATCTTTGATACTATATTTCTAACATTTAAACATAGTAACTTTGTCCTTTATATTTGAACACAATGGACTGACCTGTTTTTACTTATGTGATGTTTTCCATCCTTGGCTCTGTTGCATAAGGTTTATGAAAACTATGCTTTCCAACACTAATATCAGCACTTAAAATTTTCCATTTGCTCCTCATCTTTCTAAAGCATAAAATGCACAGTGATGTTGGACAGGCAGATTATGTCCATCACACCCGAAGCCTGAACCACAGCTCGCCCTGAATCTGGGCTGAATCAAATTGCTCAATTCCCCGTATGTACAAATCATTGCACAACCGCTTCTTTATAAGCCCTGGTGGTTATTGCCAAAACTGACCTTTTGACTGGCAGACAGAGGGTCACTATGTGAAAGTTCAAATACATTTCCATATGGTGTCATTTCCCTTCTGCCTGTAGGACCTCCTTTAACCCTGCTTCTAGTAATGATCTGCCGGTGATTAATTCCTTCAGCTTTTGTATGTCTGAAAATATCCTTATTCTGCCTTCATTCTTAAAGCTATTGTTGTGGGTATAGAATTCTAGGCTCACAGTGTTTTGTTTGTTTTCAGTACTTTAAAGATGGTATTCCACTGCCTTCTTGGTTGTATTGTTTCTGATGAGAAATCTTAAGCCTTCCTCATCTGTGTTTTTCTGGATGTGTGTTTTCCCTGGGCTCCTTTAAAGATGTTCTCTTTGTCACTGCTTGTGAGTCCTGTGATTATTATATACACCTTGTGCCTGTGGGTTGCTGAGCCTCTTTGATCCACGGGTTTATAAGTTTTCATCAGATTTAGAAAATTTTGATCATTATTTCTTCAAAAATGTTGTTGTCTCTCCCCCTCCCTGCTCCGAGGACACCCATTACATGTAATTAGGCTGCATGGGGTTGTCTCACAGCTCACTGCTGCTCTGTTCAGTTTGGGATTGTTTTTTCCTCTCTGTGCTATGATTGCTATGCTTACGGGTTCTAATCTGTTCTTCATGCAACGTCTAATCAGCCATCGATCCCTCTAGGGTATTTTTCATCAATTATATACATTATAATTTTCATTTCAAAAAGTTTGACTTGAGGGGTGCCTGGGTGGCTCAGTCAGTTAAGCGTCTGCCTTCGGCTCAGGTCATGATCCAGGGTCCTGGGATCGAGTCCCGCATCAGGCTCCCTGCTCTGCGGGGAGTCTGCTTCTCCCTCTCCCTCTGAGTTTTGTTCTGGGATGTAGTTAAACTTACTTGGAAAAGTTTGATCCTTTTGGGTCAGCTCTTAAAATTTGTTACGAAGGACTGAAGGAATGTTCAGTCTATGGCTAATTCTCTACTACTGGGACAAGACCCTTCAGTTTATTGTACCCAGTGTCCTGTGAGTCTTCAGGTTTCTCAGAAGGGAAAAGGCACTGTCCCTGGCCTTGTGTACGTGCTGGGCCCTGTTGCTTCTAATGCTTTTGGGTGGTTCTTTCCCTAAACTCAGGCAGTTTCCTCTCATACACGTGCTGAGGGGGACGCAGGCAAACTGCTGGGTGCCCTCTCTATGCACTTCTCTCCTGTTACTTCTTGCTGCCAACTTGCACTGCCTTGGTCTGGTCTCTCAATTCTGTCTCCTCAACTTGGAGAGTCCGCTGGTCTCCTCCTGAGTGTCTCCCTGCTCTGTGGCCTGGAAAGTCTCTCAAGACAGTGAACTGGGGGGTGCCTGGGTGGCTCAGTCATTAAGCGTCTGCCTTCGGCTCAGGTCATGGCCTCAGGATCCTGGGATCAAGCCCCACATCGGGCTCCCTGCTCCGCGGGAAGCCTGCTTCTCCCTCTCCCACTCCCCCTGCTTGTGTTCCCTCTTTCGCCGTCTCTCTCTCTCTGTCAAATAAATAAATAAATAAAATCTTTAAAAAAAAAAAAAAAAGACAGTGAACTGGGGCCGGCGCCTGGGCAGCTCAGTCGGTTGGGCATCTGGCTTTGGCTCAGGTCATGATCTTGGGGTGCTGGGATCAAGCCCCGTGTCAGGCTCTCTGCTCAGCAGGGAGTCTGTTTCTCCCTCTCACTCTCCCTCTGTGTTCCCTCTCTATGGCTCAAATAAATAAAATCTTTAAAAAAATTTTTTTAATTTAAATAAAAATAAATTTTATTTATTTGAGAGAGAGACAGAGATAGTGACAGAGAGCACATCCTACTTGTTATTTGATGTCTAGTGTCTTATAAACCATTATATGTGTGTGTATATTTATATTATATTTATATTTATACTTATTTCAACTTTTTGGCTGCTGCATGTGGGATGGTAAATCTGATCCCTATTCCAGAAGTGGAAATCCCCATCTTTATTTTTATCCCACCTACTCTTGGGCCTGCTACATTGCTCTTTGGTCTTCTTTAAAACTCTGAGCTTTCCCTCAACCTTACCTGTGCTCATAATATTCTCTCTGCCTGAAGTGCCCCTCTTCCCATGTCTACCTTTTCGTATCTTCCTCTAGACCCAGGTCATATGCCAGTTTTTCCATGGAGATTTTTCAGGTCCCTTGGTTGACATTAATTCATTCTTCTAATCTCTCCCAGCAGTCTGTGTCCCTACTGCAGCATATCTCTCTTTGCCCTGTATATTCATTCATCCATTTGTCTATGCAATCCTTCAACAAACATTTCTGATTTTCTACTGCTATGTGCCAAAAAGTGCTGGGAACAAATGAAGGAGCAGAGTCAAAGGCTTGTTTCCTGCACTTAAGGAGCTTACAGCTAGTTGGGTCAACAGGTAAACGATTAACTATAATGAAATGATGTCATGGTTCATAGAGACCTAGGAAGAAGTAATCAATTCCACCAAGCACGGGGTAAGGGTGGGTTCAGTGAAACCCTCACAGAAGAAATTATGTTTGTACTGAGTCTTGAAAGATTACTAGTCACCATAACATATTTCAGAACTCAGATCTATAGTGTAACAGTAGTATAGATTTCATCCCCTCCTTTTTTTCCCCCTTCTCTTTCCTTCCACTCTCCCTGCTTGTGCGCTCATTCTTTCTCTGTCTGACAAATAAATAAGTGAAATCTTTTTTTTAAAGAGTTTATTTATTTATTTGACAGAGAGAGAGATACAAGTAAACAGACAGGCAGGCAGGCAGAGGCAGAGGGAGAAGCAGGCTTCCTGCTGAGCAGGGAGCCTGATGTGGGGCTCGATCCCAGGAAGTTGGGGTCATGACCTGAGCCAAAGGCAGATGCTTAACCGACTGAGCCACCCAGGTCTCCCAATAAGTGAAATCTTTTTAAAAAAGTTAAAAAAAAAAATAAACATCCTACAATGCTTAGGAGAGCACCCTCCCTGACCCCCCAACAAAGGATTATCCAGCTCAAAGTATCAATAATGCCAAGTTAAACAATCAATTTTAATTCAACAAATATTATTGAGCACCTATTATGTCCAAAATATTGTTCTAGATGCCAGAGGGTTGTATCCGGGAACAATCTCTGAAGCTTACATTTTAGAGGATGAAAGGAGAGACAAGCAATCGGAAGACTATATAGCATATCAAATGGTGATATGTACTGTTAAGAAAAGTGAGGCAGGGAAGGAAAACAAGGAGTGTTGTGAGGTGGTTACAATTTTTAAACAGTATGCTTGAAATGGAGGGATCAAGATGCTGAATTCAGCTCTGAGAAGGGCTCACTCCCCACCCCCCCACTCTGCTCTGTCCCATCCTCTTTGCTTTAGATAAGGAATATCGGACTTGACTCTAGAATGACCCACACATTCTGCCTTAGGTTTAAATGTGAGTGAGAAGAGAGAGGGGCAGAATCTTTGTGGTTTCATATCTTTGCCTTGCTGAGTGTGTGGGCATTACATCCACGCTATCAGGCTATGATCTGACAGATCTCTTTACATCCTTCATTCGCTACTGAGGAATGGGAGAAAGAAAGGAATGACATTTATTCTTCCTTCTCTTTCTCTCTTCCAACTGGAGGCAAGAGATGAGTGTTGGATAGCATATTTGTTGTTGCTGTTGCTGGATAGCATTTTGATCGTAAGTAGTGTAGCATTTACAAGGCTGAACACAGTGCTGGGCTCATAGTAAGTCTATAGCTCATTATTTTGGTTGACTGAGTATTGGTGTTTTTTTGAGATTTATTTATTTTAGAGAGAGACAGAGAGATGGGGACCATTGCGAGCAGGGGGAGGGGCAGAGGAAGAGGAAGAGGGAGAGAAGCAGACTCCCCACTGAGCGATGAGCCTGACATGGGGCTCAATCCCAGGACCCTGAGATCATGACCAGAGCTGAAATCAAGAGTCAGATGCTTAACCGACTGAGCCACGCAGGTGCCCCATTTGGCTCAGTATTGTTTAAGGTCATTATCCTTCAGTGAAATATGTGATTTTTATATGATTTCTAGCTGCTTTACATAACTTTCTCCTTTAATCTTTACTACAACCCTATGGAGTGGATACTATTATCTCCATTTTACAGATGAAGAATTAAATAATTTGCCCGTGGACTCATAGCTACTAAGTAGGGGAGGCTGGTTTTGAATCCACGTTTGCCTAAGTCCAAAGGCCATACTTAACCATCACATTATTTTCTTGTTCATGAACTTTTCAAGGTACCTTTGTAAACCAAAGCATACTGAAACTTCATAAAATATTTTGGCAAGGATCAACCATAAACTAAAAATAAATGCTACTGCTTTCATAAGCTAAATCTTCAACTTATTGGAATGACAAGCATAAAAAACAAATGAAATTGGGAATAATGTTATTTTCTGTAGAATCCTCATAAACCAAAGTGTGTGAAGATGAGGTATGGAGCATGGTATCTGAACACCAAGTTATGGAAAAAGCAAAGAGCAGATGAACCTTTGGTTGACCCCAAGGTCTCATGTAAAGCTCAAGATGACAATTTTAAAAAGGAGCTGCAGGAACAGGTATGTGTATATGCTGAGATTTGATCATCTGATCTAAAGATTATCACAGCGTACCTGGTACTTCAGATTGAAGCCAGTCTTTGGGTGAAACATAGGCTCCAGAAAGTCTTCCAGCTTGCATGTTGACCTTAGCAATGAGAAAGCCAAGCCATTATATTGTATGTGTATGTGTAATAAGTACACATTGTATGTGTAATAAGGAAGACTTGGAATCTCCTGACTTTGTGGTAGACACACCATCTCTAAAGATGGGACAACCACTCATCGTATTCCTAGCATTCTTGGAACAATTAATTCAATGGATAAATTGGCTGTTCAAAAGGCGGTGTGACCCGGTAGGACCACCTCTGTGCTTAGAATGGATGTAACATCATGGGTTCTTTGAGTAACTAAATGTGAAGTTTATTTTTGTCAGCAACGGATGAATGTTAAAGAATTCAGAATTACATTTGGGAAACATCTTTATGCAGTTCAGCAGAGTTGTAGGATCTGTCTGAAAGAAAAGGGGCAAAGGTTAATAAGCACTGATTGATATCACAAAGCAACAAACACACGTAACAAGGATGTGCTCTAATGTTACTGCAAATAAACTCTGTCTGCCCAACTCTTGTGTACAAGCGCATAACAGAAAGAAGGTACTCATCGTAGTCCTAGAAATTTGGAAATAATGATGCAACACCTGAACAGAAAGAACTCTGATAAGAATATTTGTGAACCTCTTCTCTTTTACAACAGGTCCAAAACTTCTCCCATATAATGATGTGAAAACACTTTGGAAAAAAGTAAAATGCTGTTCAAATTTGCCTACTCATTCATTCAGTAATCACTCACTGATTGCCTCCTTTAGATTGGAAAGCTTAGACGGGAAGGATGGTCATTTTTATCTTTTCTAGTAGTGGGTATGAAATTCTTGTTTTCAGATGTGGGGCATGACAGAAATTTATATGCACAAGATGCTTATATAAGCCTATAAATAATGTAAATAATGTTCAGTAGAATTTCTTGGTGTATGTTTTCTGGAGCAAAATATCTAAGTTTATGTGAATTTCACACATAACATAAAACTATTCCAGTTGTACTTAAAAAAATAACAAAACACATGAATGAACAATTCTCAATGAATTAAATATTGAAAAACAAAAATGGTTACAAAACTTATTGTTTTAAAGTGTCTTAGAAGTTTTTTTTTTAAGAAATATATTCTTAAAGACTAATTCTTAAAGGTTTAAGGAATTTTACAAGAATATTCCATTTTGATGGCAAAAGTAAGTAAAGATGTTTGCCAAAATGGTGACAGTAAGCTCATGAAAAAGAAGTAATGTTTAGATTTTGGAAATATGGTTATATATTACAGTAAAAGATTATTTACCTGACAGCTTAGAGACAGGGAGGATTCAAAACAATGGGGTTGTTCCATAATGATGTTTATAAATCACACTCTTGTAATTCCTGAAGATTGAATTACCCTGTGCACTTTAGTTGCACTTGACTATGGCGTCCCAATTCGTAAGACACAGGAGTGATGGGATGCTGTTAAAGGGCAGTCACTATGATGACATGGCTATCTTGCTGGTAACACATGAGTTTCTCTATTCTTGGTTGCGTTCATTTGGAAGGTGAAATGGTATTAAAGAACTGAGTTACAATGACATAAACTTATCTATCCAATTTTAAAATTCAAATAAATGAAAGGTAAAACCAAAAGGATACATAAATACCCCAAAGATGTTGGGACTGGAGCAAATCTTTTCTGATTGTCATGGCCTTTGAAATTAAAATCTATTAAAGAACAAAATTCAACCAAGTAAATTTAAAGGTGTAATTAGCCTTATTCAGTGACTCACGAATTGGGCACCATCCTAATAACTGGAAGTGTGTTCCAAGGAGTTGTATAAAATGGATGGCTTTTATAGGCAGAAATGGGGTGGGTCAAGGAAATTATCGCAAAAGAAAAGATTGTTCCAGGTAAGGTCACCTTTCTTAGGCGGAAGGGCAGGGATATTATGCAGAGTAGCTCCCTAGTGCTCACTGGGAAATTCTAGACTGACTGGTTTAAAATCCCACTCGTGGGAGAGGCTGAAACTGCAATTAGATTAGGTATTAAATCTCGGTGGGGCTTAACATAAGTGACTCCATTTTGGACCTGTTGTTTCTTTTTAACACTCCCCCCTCCCCCGTTCCCTTCATGAACCTGTCAGCTGAACTGAGAGGTGTGATCAAAATTGAAGGCATTAGGGCGCCTGGGTGGCTCAGTCGGTTGAGCGACTGCCTTCGGCTCAGGTCATGATCCTGGAGTCCCGGGATCAAGTCCCACGTCGGGCTCCCTGCTCGGCGGGGAGTCTGCTTCTCCCTCTGACCCTCCCCCGTCTCATGCTCTCTCTATCTCATTCTCTCTCTCAAATAAATAAATAAAATCTTAAAAAAAAAAATTGAAGGCATTAGTACTACTCTCAGCTGGCGGTCTGTTCTAACAGCTCTTGTTGATCCCATTTCTTTTGATGAATCGCTGTGGTGTTCACAGGTCGTGACTTCAGGCTCATAGTCTTTTAGCCAGCCATTCTCTTCGTCTCTTTTTTGATGTTCCAGTCTTAGGGAGATCATTTGCTTGGTGATAAGCAGCTACAAACATGCATTTCAAGCTTTTGAGAGAACGGAACACACCAGGGAGATTATGACGATAACCATAAGCAGGATCATTCCCAGTGTTTGGAGTGCACTTTGGAGCCATGGTTCCCAAGACCAAACCAATTAAAGAATGACCCAGTCCTAAGAGTCACCCTTTTAAGCCAAGTGGCTTGCTCAGTGATGTAATGTAACTGAGTTTCAGCTTCCCCAGAAGTGTTAGTCCAGGTGCATGCAGCATGTGGTGCTGGCCATACCACAGACAGCTCTTTGCCCAGCTAAAAGATCATCCTGTTGTCAAGGACCACTTTGGCCAGAAAGTCTAAGGATCTTTGCTGGGCAGCTAGGGTCTTAGCAATGGGATCTGCAATGTCTCCAAGAGTTAAGAAGTTTCTGATCATAGCTTCATTTGTATTTACTCCTACACCAGAGGTCAGCCAGGTTTTTAGTGCATATGGGAAGAGAACCGTCTAGCCTGAAATAAAAAGTCATCCTAAGTGCCTGACAAAGATGGGTCCTGCTGGTGAGATCTCTTGGTGAGTGGGGGCAGATCTGATCTTGATATAATCATGGGCATGTGGGGGTGCAAATATACAAAGGTTCACATGGGTAAATGTGTCTGCTTGGGTACCTGCTTCTAAGCAGGGGTTCAACTGTAGTTTGTGGTGATGTGGGAATATAAGAGAAATTGGTCACAGGGAGGACCAGGGGGTCTCTTGCATCATGATGAATCCAGTAATCTGCAAGTTTGCCTCCCTTAGCAATGGACTGGGAGATACAGATGATGGAATTATCTTTCCTGGCCAATGTTCGACTAATGAAAAGAGAAGAAGAAGGGGTTTCATGTTTAGTCAAAGTATGAGGTATTAATCAGAGTCTTGGGTAGAAGCAGTCTACTTTGGTGCCAGATAACTTCTCTTCCTCACCTATGTGATTCAGAGTTCTCCAGCATCTGTACAGGACCAGATGCCAAGTGGAGCCTTCTTTAGCTGTGGGCTGTGTATCCAGGGCTCAATACCCTCTAGTTCTGTCGCAGTGTCAGTGGTCAGAAGTACCACTGTCAGGAGTGGTCAGCCCTTCCAATGGGGCTCAAGGGCTGTCTTTCTTTGATGATGCTTCTGGAATACCCAATCATCAGACTCTAGCCTGTGGCCTTGAATTGGGATCAGATTAAATCTTCTTTAATCTGTTGATGATATGCTTGAGCATCAGACAGTAAAGAGGTACAGTAGCTGGTCATACTAGCATGAGACAAGGGATCAGCAGAAGGTTGTATTAGACATTGGTCTGACGGCGACTATCTCCTGTGGGCTGAGTTTATGTTTCCCAAAGGAGGTGCTGCAAACAGGGAGAGCAAAAGTAATACCTTAAGCCAGGGGAGTCCCATGATTTCAGCAAGTTCAGAAATGTTAAGTTTGAGGATCCCATTAGTTCTCTAAACCTCACCTGTTGATTCCGGGTGATAAAGACAATGATAATTCCGAAACGTTTGCAAGGTTTTCATTAAGCCTCCTGTGATTTTCCAAGTAAAATGGGTGCCTTGATGGCTGGAGATTGTGGAAGGTATCCCCCAAGTGGGAAACACATTCTCTGACAGTTTCTTTGCCATCGTGAGGACATCAGCCTTGTAGCAGGGGAAGGCTTGCACGCATCCAGAAGGCACACACAAGTAACAGAACAGATTGATAACCCGAGCTAAGGGGCAGTTGAATGAAGTCCAGCTGCAGGTGTCCCGAGGGTCCAGAGGGAGGAGGTTTGAGGCCTTTGGAAACAAAAATAGTTTCTCTAGGATTATGAACCTGGCCCGTCAGACATTGCTGCAGACTGTTTTTGCAGTTTTATAGAAGTTTCCCCACCAATGTCAGTTCATAATCTGAGTTCATCTTAAAAGCCCTGCAGTGGGTTCGGTAATGCAAAAACCAAAGAGTGGGGTTTATCAGGGAGCCAGGAAGAACCAAGCAGCTGTCTTGAGTTTCCCATAGCCCCAACTGTTCGTTTCATTTACAGCCCCTGTTTACTCATCTTACTTTCTGATTCAGGTGCAGACTGTTGCCATGTTACAAGGATACCAGGATGGCCAAAATCTGGCGAGGAGGGGTCATTTTTTTGCAGAAGCAGAATGGGTTTCATCCACGTGCCACAGTCTTTATAGATTTATTTACTGCTGCCTTTGCACAAAAGTCAGCTGGGGCATTTCCCGGACACTCAGGTTTCAGTCTCTCAGTGTGAGCCTCAGTTTTGATGACGGCAATTTCAGGAGGTAAGAGCCTAGCAGTAGGAAGATCATTTACCTGTTGCCCATTTTTGACTGAGTCCCAGAGGACATAAGAGAGCCCTTTTGTTTCTGTAACATGCCTAAGTCATGGACGACCCCAAAGACATGCTGGCTATCGGTATAAATATTGCTTGTCCTCCTGATAGCTGGCATGCTCGGGTAAGGGCACGGAGCTCCGTCTGTTGTGTGGATGGAGCTTGGGGAAGGTTTCCTCTTTCGAGTAGGTCATCTTGGGTAGGAGTAGCACAGCCAGCTTGAAAATCCCCTTTTTCATTTCTACGGTATGACCCATCCACGAAGATTATAGATCAGGAGTAGTTAAAGGAGTATCTCATAAATCAGGACGTGCTATCACAAAAACGGGCCATCGGTACCTTGTAGTTGCGGACTCAACCTCCTCAGGTAGCAGGATTAAGGGTGTTGCAATGTTTAAGACACAGATGAGGCGGTGGACGCAGGAGGATCTCATAGGAAGTTAGTCTGCCTGCAAGAAAGGCTGAGTCAGTTCTGAGTTAAGAAGACTTCAGACAGGGTCAAATCTGACGAGACTGCCACTCGTTTTGCTGCTGTGTCTGTAGCCTTAAGACAGCTGGGATAGGCAAGAGCAACTGAATCAAGGTATGTGCTGTACTAGGTAATAGGCCTCTGTTTACTACCCTCCTCTTGAGTGAGCATCCCCAGGGCTTGATTATCCCTTTCCTGCACAAATAAGGTGAAAGGTTTTGCACAGTTAGGCGGCCCTAAGGCAGGAGGTTCTTCCACTGCTTCTTTCAGTCTCCTGAAAGCCTGCTCACATTTGTCTTCCCAAGGAAAGTGTTCAGGGACTGAAATTTTAGTAAGTTCATAGAGTGGGGTAGCTAATAGCGAAAAATTAGGAGCCCATCATCTGCAATAACCAGTCAAGCCTAGTCATCCACAGATCTGTCACCTAACTGGGTGTAGGAAATTCCTGGATTAGCTTAATTCTTTTGGGACACAGCTGAAGTCCTTCAGGGCTTAGGTAATGACCCAGGTGATGAACCGTGTGTAGAGGTAATTGTAATTTTCTCTTAGAGACTTTGTGTTCCTTTCCAGCTAACTGCTCTAGCAAATAGATGGAATCTTTTGTGGATTCCTCTTTGGAGGCTGAAAGTAGCAAGAGGTCATCTACATATTGCAAAAGGGTGGATTTCCCAAGGAACTGGAGTGTTGCTTAAATCTTGGTGAAGTGCTCAAGAGAAGTAAGAAAGGACCTCATGAATTCTTCAGGCATGACTGGCCAGGTAGAGTGTTGACAGTTCAAGTAAGGCAAATAGATATGGCTACTGGGGTCACCAGGGGTGTTGAAAAAGGCTGAACAAATCCACCGCAGTGGACCATTTGGAGTCTGGTAGAACGTGTGACAGAAGGGTGTTCAGGTTTGGAATGACTGGGATGGGGAATCACTGTCTTATTAATAGCTCTCAAATCCTGGAAAAATCAGCATCCTGTCCATGAGGTTTCCAGACTGGCGAGGTCGGGTGTGGCAGGAACTGGTACAAGGGGTGATTAGCCCTGTACCAGGAAGTTATTAGCAAAATAAAGAAAGGCTTGTTGTAGGCAAGGTCACCTTCCTTAGACGGAAAGGCTGTGGTTTTTAGCAGAGCACCTCAGCTAGTGCTCATCAGGAAACTCCACATGGACTGGTTTAAAATCCCACTCCTGGGACAGGCTGAACCGACAGTTAGGTTAGGTATTAAATCTTCGGGGGGCTTAACAGAATTGACTCCATTTCGGGCCTGTCGTTCCTTTTTAACAGATCTCAAAATTATGGATATATTGTCAAGTGAAAAAAACACTCCTGTTTCTCGCTCTATTAGTCTCAATTCTGGTCACCAAATGTGTGAGGATTTTTTTCCCCCACACCAAGCAATTGTCTGATTCTCCAGACACCAGCTGGGTGTCCTACTACAATTTAACTCAAGTCTGCCACTATCTACCTGGAGTTGGCATCAGACCTGACAGGGTAAGGGCTCAGTCTCACAACCCTGCCCCCACTTCCGATGCCGATCACAAATCAGGTTCTCACCTGTGCTTCTGACCAGGAGGTCCCCACACCTCCTCCTCGGGTTCTGTCATCTGCATGAAGAACTCAGGAAAACAGCTTACTTACTAGATTATGGGTTTATTATAAAAGGAGAGAACTCAGGAATAGCCAGATACACAGAGCAAGGTATGTGAAAAAGGGTGCAGAGCTTCTGTGCCCTCGCTGAGCACACCACCTTCCCCAAACCTCCACATATTCACCAACCTGGAAGCTCTCTGAACTCTGTCCTTTTGGGCTTTTATGGCAGCTTTAATACGTAGGCACGGGTTGATTACATCATTGGTCATCTGCGATTAATTCAGCCAGAGATTGCAGGATGGAGCCGAAAGCCAAAAACCCTCTCTTCACGTGGTTGTTTCCTCTGGCAACCAGACCCCATCCTGTGGCTCTAAAAGGGCTTTCCAAAAATCACCTTGTTAACATAATCTCTGTTGTGCTTAAAAGGGGCTAGTTATGAATAACAAAAAATTCTCCTTTTGCCTTTGTGGCTCTTATCACTTAGGAAATTGCAATGGTTTTAGGAGCTCTGTGTCAGGAATGGGAAGAAGACCAAATATATATGTCTTAATAAAAATCACAGTATCATACTTGTTAATCTCAAATAGGTTAGATTCCAGACATCTGGGCTTAATAACTGTCTAATTGCTAAAAAGTGTTGCTTCTCCTTAATACAAGGATTAAAAAAAAGGGTTGGGAAAGGAGAGAAAGTTGGACATCTTTTGAAAGCCTTTATACTCATCAACTCATGAACGTTATCTACACATAAAGTCCCAGATGAGAAGGAAGTGATTTAAAATGAGGTACTTTAAAAAGAACCGACTGCTTTTATTAGGACAAGTATGGAATCAAACTTCTAACAGCTGACTGGGTTTTTTTTGTCTTTGTTTTTGTTTTAATGTGGATCCTCTTTTAGGAGGAGTTACTTGCAGACCTTCATGGAACCATTGCCTTTAAGGATTTCATTCTAAGCAGAGGCTATAGGATGCCAAATGTGAGTAAAGGGTCCTTTCAGAAAGACTGGCTGAGGGGCTCACAGGTGTTGATGAGACAGGGCCCTAACAAAAGCAAAATACAATTGACTCTTGGATACCACAGGCTTAAACTGTGCAGGTCCACTTAAATGTGAAAAAAAAAATTTTTTTTTGGATAAATACAGTACAATACTAAAAATGTATTTTCTCTTATGACTTTCTTAATAACATTTTTCTCTAGCTTACATTAATGTAAGAAGATGGTATATAACATATATAACATACAAAATACATGTTAATCAACTGTTTATGTTATCAGTAAGGCTTCTCATCAACAGTATAGATTATTAGTAAAGTTTTTGGGAAGTCAAACTTATACATGGATTTTCAGTTGAGTGGGGGGGGGGGGGCTGGTGCCCCTAACCCCCGTAGTATATTGTTCAAGGGTCAACTGTACTTCTCATACCAGGACTCAGGCCCCTGGAAGAAAGGGCATGCTTTTCCCCAGACAAAGGCCCAGAGATGGGATTTGGCTTTTGCTTTTTTTATTCTGCCTCTTTGGTTTCTGCTCTCAGAGGTGCTGTCTTCCTATTCACTTACCTACCTTGAGTTTGGCCTTAATGGGACCAAAGTGAAAGGGGTCTATGTGCAGGGCATGTACCTTGCAAACTCTGTCACTCGAACACTCTGAAGTCTCTAGGAAGTCTTTGAGTGTCTTTTACTTCCACATCTAAGGACAAAGAGCTATGGCTTGGGTCAGGACAAAATGGAATTGAGATTCGCAATAGTGTTGTACTATGGGGTAAGCCTTGTGTGGAAACAGAACAGGGCAAAATTTCACTTTCCAGGGGCCCACCAGTATCTTCTGTGTTTTCCCCACTTTTTCTTACCTCCCATGTAGTTTCCCCTCTCTTAACTTGTAAAGCTAGCCCCAGCTGCTTCCCACGTGGAGCGGCCATGCTTGGAAGGCCACGTGCCACATGGGTGGGGTGGGAGGTTGGCAGAGCAGACCATTTTTAGCAGGAGGGCCTCAGAGCCTAAAGTTCTGTGCCCAGACCAGCCCTGTCACCACAGCAAGAAACCAGCTAGCCAGGCTGCCAAAGTTGTAGCTATTAAGTCATGCATTTATCCAGTGTCCTCTGTGTGCACATCCCATGTGTCTTTAGGAAGCCGTGCAGCCAACATGAAGTTCAGGAAATGCAATACTGGATTTCTTCTTTTCCATGAATGGCAGAGGGAGAGGAAGAGAATCCCAAGCAGACCCCCACTGACACGGGGCTCCATCTCACGACCCCGAATTCATGACCTGAGCTGAAAATGAGTTGGATACTCACTGACTGAGCCACCCAGGCACCCCTATGTTTATTATATTTTGTCTAATTACCTAATTGCACATATTATATATTTTATAACATATGTAAATATACTTGAGCATAAATATAATTATATGATACATGTGTATATATATAAGTGTGTATATATATATATATTCCTCTTGCCAAGGACCATATATATAGGAGATATATATATATCTCCTTGTTTGCTGTTATAATAATTCAGTTCTGTCTTAACATTTTTTTAGTGGCAGAACACTTTTTAAAAAAATTTTGATTTGTCCCTTGTTGGTTTAGTCCATTTTGTTGATGAACATTTAGTTCAATTTTGGGCAAAAAGAAGCACGCCTGACACACCGGCTGTACTCTTTTGGCTGCATTACCTAGAGAGAGATGATGCCCCTGACTACAGCTGAGTCCTCTGAGAACACCTGTCATTCAAAACCCTGGAATATATTTTCTTCCTTTATTCTTACATCCTATATCCTCTATTTTATCAATAAAATTTCGACTGAAAGAGAGGAGGGAATGTATTTAGTATATATATTATATGTTTTCAATGTCATTATTTAAATATATATACGTATATGTGTGTATATATATACACATATATATATAAACATTCATTCTCTTTTTATTCACGTGAGGTCTGGATGCACTGTACATACACATTCATATATGTTACATGAGCACAGGTACTTTATACACATTCCAGTATCTGCTGCTGGATTATCTACTCTATTCATTACCCTCAGCTTCATTCTGTCTGCTACACAGATGGGTCCCAGGTTTTTAATAGAAGGGATGAGCAGCACGAGGCTTTGCTGAGCTGAGCTGGGCTGGACTTGGGCACAGAACAAATGGGAATTAGATTTAGGTATTTCTGATGCTGTACAAATAGCTTCCAAAGTCTCACATTTATCATGGCCAATTGTCAACACGGGATTTTGAGTACTAGAAGGATATATGTCAGAGTGTGAAATTGTGAATTTGCGTATGGTAGTGATTGTGGGCAGGACTGTACAATATTTGTTTGCCAATCTAATGAAGGTTTACTTTTTTTTTTAAAGTTCCTTGAGAAGATGTATATCAGGAAGGAACATAAATGTGAGTGTAATAAGACTTCTGTAAAATAACTCAAGCATAGAAGAATCTTGGAAAGATGATTAGACCAATTGTATTTACTACATACTTGGTTATTTCTCTGTCTCATTTTAAACCTTAAATAAAATTTATGAGTGTCCCATGGATATACATCTTTGACTTGGCAACATCCATAAAGTTCATACTTAATACTTAAAAACATTTCACAACTGGGGCACCTGGGTGGCTCAGTTGGTTAAGCGACTGCCTTCGGCTCAGGTCATGATCCCAGGGTCCTGGGATCGAGCCCCACATCGGGCTCCCTGCTCAGCGGGAAGCCTGCTTCTCCCTCTCCCACTCCCCCTGCTTGTGTTCCTGCTCCCGCTGTCTCTGTCTCTGTCAAATAAATAAATAAAATCTTTAAAAAAAAAAAAACATTTCACAATGGCTGTCTGCTTCTGTTAATCAATATCTTACATATCCTATCAGTGGTGAGATCAATAGTCACACATAGTCTTCTCACACTTTTGTAGCATTGTCAATATTACATAGTTATATTAACTATTTGTAAAAAATAAATAAAACCATAAATAAAAGCAGAATTACTCTGGGGCACCTGACTGACTCTATCGGTGGAGCATGGGACTCTTGACCTCAGAGTTGCATGTTCGAGCCCCCCGTTGGGTATAGAGATTACTTAAAAATAAAATCTTAAAAAAAAAAAAGGCAGAATTACCCTATTGCACTTCCCCATAGTATTATTTTCCCTGGTCTTGAGTGAACACCACCTTTATTCTTTCTTTCGAATATTATTTTCTTTAATTTTGAATAAAGCTTACTCAAGTTTTTTCCCTTTTTAGGCATGTTAGTCTTGATAATAAATGTGTACCTAAAGATAAGGTCATAAGTCATAAAGTTTAACGGAAATTCAAGATGATATATATTTTAAAATTAATTTTCCAAAAATGATTTCTTGTTAAAAAGGTTAATGCTCATGTTAGGAAAATCAGAAAATATAAACTAACAGAATATAGAAATTATGACTAATTCCTACAAAGTCAGAAATAACCACTCTTCACTCACTGGAATATATCCTTCGAGATCTTTCTCTATGAAACCCACTCTGTAAAATTTAATCAAAAAGGGAATTTATTAAAAGAATACTGAGTCCCAAAGTTTTGTGAGTGACTGCATCGTCTTCAAATACAAAATCTCTGGGTGATGACCTTTCATCCTCTGGGTCTGTCACAATTTCATCTCAGTAATCTGCTGGACTGACTACATAGCAATTGTGCTGTGAACGAGTCTTTGCCATGCCCTCTGTGAGGTCACTTTACGGTGATGGAGTACATGACAGAAGCATGAACCCCATAGTGTCAGCCCATTCCTGTAAAATTAGTTACTTAGTGAGAGCCAATGTGGGGTGGAATACCATGGTGGTGAATAAGCATTCAGTAAATCTATGAATGTTGGTGTGGGCAGAGGTTTGTTCAACAGGAACACAAATCCAAATCCAGAAAAAGTAGCTATTCCAGTAAAGCCACTTTTCTCAGAATTCCTTGGTATTTTCAACGCATCGCACATGCCCACTTTGTTCACGAGATCACCAGGCACCGTTGGAGTGCCTGGGGAAAGACGTAGGCTGACATGCTAAGGCTAGGTTAGCCTTTTTACGTGATTACTGAGCGCTTCCTTTACAGCGGAGACCTTCAGCAGGTGTTCATGAAGAACCAAATATCCTCATACTCTAGAGGATCCGTTCTGAGAGATCCCCTGAACGCCTCTTCCCCAGACATCTTTGTTACCATCAGCCTTGCATTCATGACCTTCCCAGTCCGGCTACCCAGCTACACCATCAGTTTCTGTCCAGTACAGGCGATATATGCACCCCAGGCCATGTCTCCTTTCAGACAAAGTGGTCAACGGGATGAAATGCTAAAAATTCTGCCTACTGGAAAATTCTCCTCAGTTGTTCTTCAGGGCCAGCCTTGAGTTGGACTAGAGCGTTGTGGCACTGCCATCGTCTTGGGCAGGTTGTTTGTTCAGTCCCCTGGGCTTCGCGAGCATCCCTGGGTCAGATGTGTAGGCAGAGGAAGAGCAGCAGTATGGTAGGACTGAGCACGCCATGCATGCAATCTGTCGTGTCTTCCATTTCTGCTCAAGCGCAGTCCTACACAGAGAACTTCCACTTGATCGTGAGAAGCCATATAAGTTGGTAATTAAACATGTGGACTTTGGGTCCAGAGGGTCTGGGTGCAAACCAAGCTCTGCTACTTATGAGCTATATGACTAGGTGGCAAATCACTTCTCCTCTCTCTGTATCAGTTTTCTCAGCTGAAGCAGGGATAATAGCAATAATAACAGAACTGCCTCCCAGAATTGTGAAGATGAAAGGAAATGTTACAAGTAAAGTGCATGGAACAGTGCCTGGCACACAGTACAGACACACTAAATGTTAGCTGACTTGATGTCTTGGTGGATCAGATGACCCCGAGTTTATAATGGGCATCAGTCGCTTGGTTACCTAATGGCTCATGAACAGGCTGCTGTATTTATTGGTGCCAAGCAACAAACCAAGATTGGCCTCTCAAAAGGAGAACAGTTATATGCCACAGAGTTCACGGCTGGGCTGCAAACCCCTGGGGGCCTGTGCTCCGCTTTGCCTTCCTGGACGTGCCAAAGCGCCATGCGGCAGCCCTATCTGCCACAAGCGTTTCAAGTACACTGGATTCACTGGATCAGAGGGCAGAGCTTCCTGGACCGGCTACAAGCCTTCTCTTGCTTCAAGCTGCCCTCAAAGCTGTTACCTCTGAGCTGACCGAAGAAATGAGCTGAAACAGCACATCTAAATCTGGCTTCAAACTCCAAAGAGAAGCGCAGGTAGCGTACCATTATATATTATTTCCAACGCCCAGATAGGAGATGTAAGTAACTTCAAGACCATAGATACTAATAAAATGTTGTTAATAACTACAGCGTGATAAGTTTTTGAGTTTTTATTACCTTTGTTGTTAATGTAATTTATTTATAAGGATATTTAAGTTTTAATAATGACTGTGTTTACCAACCAGCTCACGAAATTCCTGAAAATTTCTCAATTGACTTTTGTGATCTGGTACAGACTGTCTCTAGCACATTACTGATGGCAAGATTCAAGGCTAGGAAAGATGTTAGGGGTGAAGAATGAAGAGAATTGGCTACCCCAACCCTCCTCCTGCCCACCAGTTACTCTCTTTAATCTGTTTAAATACTTGACCTTAAATATGCATGTGTTTTTGAAACTCTGTAGTGTTGAGTATTTTCAACTTACATAAATGTTATTGTGCTAGAAATCTTATTGTTTCTTACCTTTTGTCACCCTCATGTATTTAAGACTTAATTATGTTGCAATGTGTAGCTCTAGTTCATTGGTCTGTCTACTGCGTAGTATTTCTTTTTTTTTTTTTTTAAAGATTTTATTTATTTATTCATGACAGAGAGAGAGAGAGAGGCAGAGGGAGGAGCAGGCTCCCAAGGAGCAGGGAGCCCGATGTGGGACTCGATCCCAGGACCCTGGGATCATGACCTGAGCCGAAGGCAGACGCTCAACCATCTGAGCCACCCAGGTGCCCTACTGCGTAGTATTTCATAGGCATCCACCATGTTTTACTTAGCTATTTCCCCATGATGGGCAGCTAGGTGACCTTAAACTTACTGTTGCCCCAAATAACACTGTGTGTCTTGTGCAAAATTTTCCCTGGGCCGAACATGTTCAGGAGTGGGATTACTGTGTCATGGGGTATATGAATACTTAAATTTCACAAAATTCTTCCAGATTATTCTCCAGATTGTTTCTACCTGTTTACTCTCATTGGCAACATCACATCTTCTTTCTAATATTTGGATGTAAAATGGTATAATATCATCGTTTTAATTTGCATTTATCTGTTTACCAGTATTCCTGCACCTTTTTGCTAGCCATTCATTTATTTAACTAAAAATTACTGTACATGCCTTTTATGTTCCAGGCACTGTTCTAGACCCCAGGGAAAAGCATCCCCTATACATTTTACATTGGAGTTTATGGGTTTTTTTTTTAAGATTTTTTATTTATTTATTTGAGAGAGAGAGAATGAGAGAGAGAGCACATGAGAGGGGGGAGGGTCAGAGGGAGAAGCAGACTCCCTGCCGAGTAGGGAGCCCGATGCGGGACTCGATCCCGGGACTCCAGGATCATGACCTGAGCCGAAGGCAGTTGCTCAACCGACTGAGCCACCCAGGCGCCCCATATGTTTTTGTTTTCAATTTTTGGCAATCTGTCGGAGTTCATTATAGATCCACACTTTTTTAAAAAAATTTTTTTATTTGTCAGAGAGAGAGAGAGAGCACAAGCAGGGGGAGCGGCAGGCAGAGGGAGAAGCAGGCTCCCTGCTGAGCAAGGAGCCCGATGTGGGACTCGATCCCAGGACTCTGGGATCATGACCTGAGCCGAAGGCAGACGCTTAACCCACTGAGACACCCAGGCGTCCCCATAGATCCACATATTATTCCCTTGTCAGTTTTAATAACACAAAAATCTCCCCATCTGGATCTGTCTGCTAACTTTGTCTATGGCATCCTTCAATGATTAGCCTTATATTGATAAGGTCAAGAAATATTTTGGCCTCCTATATTATGCAATATCACAGTGATAGTCTCCTGGATTTTGTTCAATTAGCTATTAGTGGTTTTTGTAGTTCTGTAGTAGTTTTACCATTTACAGGTAGTGCTTTATTCCATCAGGAGTCCACCAAGTTGTAATCTAACTTTCTTTCAATACAGTGAGCTGGATTTCCCAACACAGATTTCCCTTTTCTCTAAAGGCTTCATCATTTCACAGAAGAGATCTCCGCATTGAGTCTATTCTGGAACTAAGATGAGTCAGAGGTTTGCAAACATTTGCAGTTAGAAAATGTCCCTGTGAAATCTGAAACTGGGCAGCTCCCATGTGACTGCTTTGCAGAAAGGTTTGGCTTGTGGTTCATGTTCTGGGGAGGAGCAGAAGCCGGAGGCTTGACAGCAGCAGACAGGTGCTGGTGGTGGTGAGTACAGCTCCCTGAGGAGGCGATGGCTTGCGGAGAGAGTGATTATAAATTAGGAACAAGGCTGAAATTCATTGTAAATGTTGGAATACCACCCAGAGGCATTCTCTGGTGTCACACATCCACATTTGCACCTTCACCTCTAAAATGTATGCTTTGAAATTTGGACATGGTTTAGTAGTCAGCCGTGAGGATTCAGCATAGCTAGAGTTTCAGAGCCTGGGTCCTGGGAGGTCAAATACTGGGTTCAAAGCCCAGCTCAGTCACCCAGCAGCTTTTTGACCTTGAGTAGCTTACATCTCTCGGGGCATTACATGAGATCATCCTTATAAAGCACTTAGCCTAGTGCCAGTATACACGGGGTATTCAATGAAAAAAGGAGAGTTAAAAGGCCTCTTAGATAATAGACTTTGTATTCCAGGGAACACAAAGAATAAATGAACTCTGGCCCTCAAGGAATGTATGATCTAGTATGGGGATGAGATAAACTACGAAAATAATTATACCAACACAGAAAACCTATTTTATTTCTAAGACAGTTACAATATGTAATTCTTTTCTTCGAAGTCTGCCAACATATCAGTTTGAGGGCTGGGGGCTGGGGAATGGGACTGTGGACTGGGGTGAGGTTTCATGGAAGTTAAGTGGCTTCTAGGAAATCTCTAGACTAATGAGTGAAGGTTCCAGCGGGAGAGTCCCAGTTTGGCTGGAGTGCAGATCAATGGTAAGAGAATGGCCTGGAGTGGTCCTTGGGACTGTGTCATAGAGACCTTGAAGGCTACAGTGGGGTTGAAGTTAATCTGGTAGACCCAGGAGATGCCCTGTGGGGAGCTGCTCTGTAGGAGGATTAAGTCTGGAGTGGTTGCAGAGTGGATCACAGCCAGAGGGGAGGGAGGTGTAGACAGGAACTGGGAAGTGGTTGTCTGGTCGGCTGGACAGTTAGGTGGGGTCTGAGTGGGGGTGAGGGCCCTGGAAGGTCAGGGAAGCTCGGAGCACAGCAGAGGCCCAGGACTGAAGACTCAACATGATCCAGGAAGGACAGGTCTCCCAACAGGTGATCTCTTCTCTCAGTGGCGATTTCCTCTGCTTTCCTTCAAACCTCAGCTGGACCTCCTTTCTCTCACTCAGCTGATAACGTCCTCACTCCCTGCCTCCTTTGTACCTCAACTGTTTCTTCTGTTCATTCTTTCCTCTTTGCATGCCTGTTTCCTCTCCTTCATTCATCGCAGGCCAACCCTTCCCCTGGTGTTTCGGAGCCACCTTCCTCTTCCCTTATGGGATTGCCGTGAAGCTTGTCCTCACATCTTCAGGTGTGGTCTTAGCCTTAAAACCAACACTGCCAGTTACTTTACCAGCAAAATGGGTTTGTTCCGGAATAGTAGAGAATTGCAATGTGAAACAATCAAAGCCAGCAAAACCAGAGGCTAGTCTGAAGAACAAAGAAGAGGAACACCCTTTCATAGAGGAAAGGGGGGCAGCTGGGAGGTCTATTAATAACAAAAAGTCCATTGGAGGAAACTGGGAAGTGGAAGCATAATGGCTTTTCCTTGGCTGAGTTGTGACAGTCTCATTGGCGGGACTCTTGCCGCGGAAGGAGAAACATTTCTTCCTCCTGCTGGGCTAGTGCCGTAGGCGCTCAAATAGAATCACCGCTGGGTCCTTCTCTTCCTGTTGCGTCACCAGCTGACTACAGGTGGTAGGCTGAGAGAGCTCCCGCTTCTCTCCTCCCGACTCCATTTTAAAGGAGGTTTCCTTTTATTAATTTTCAGTCTTCACTGGCTCTTTCCTCCTTACAATCATGCCCAGGTAGGTCTTTCTTGGTCTGAGAGAACTTCCTTTGGACCTTGTTCTGGTCTTAAGGGACACTTCTATTTCTCTCCTACCCCTTGCCTCCAGATTTCCTGAGAGAAGGCTAACCTATGAAAGTTGGACTTCATAGCCTTCCCCCCATTTATACCTCAGCCTTCCAAAACAGAGTGCATACCCTCACAAATACTGAAGTCACCGAAGACCTCGTATAGGTCAAATCCACCCATTTCTTTTTAGTCCTCTATCCTCTTAAATTCTGCTGAGCGACACCCCTGTTCTCCCCTCCCCACCACCTTCTTGCACGGACTTTGGAAACAAGTCTCCCTATTCTCTCTCTTCCCTAACTCTTCCGTCCCATCCTATTTAATCCCCTGGCCTTGCAAACAAAGCTGCTTTTAATTGTTTTGTCTTCATCCTTCCACACACAGGAGGGAGAAATCTTTTCTTGCATGAAGTTAAAGAAAAAAAATAATGTTACATAAAAGTATACACATACATATAGATATATTAACATATATAAGTAAAAATAAATATAACTGGCCTTTAGAAGTCCATCATTGACTCCCTAATATGCATATTGGGCATTTTTAAGTTACATATATATGAGATATATATATATATGACACATATAAAACCTTAAAATATCCACCCATATCTATATCTATTATGACCCCTAAAATGTAATATAAAGACATAATAGCAACGTAAGTAGCCATAGGGAGGCAGCTTTCCAATCTGTTTTCTTGAAATTATGCCTATGGCTGAAGCACGTTGATTTCCCTTTGTAACGTTAATCTCTACCACAGATTTCACTGTCCCCTCTCTGTGAGGAATTTCCAATTTCTCATTAAACAACATGCCCCCAGTTCCAGCTGCCTGCTCTTGGCTCAAGTTTAACACATCCCAGCAGAATGCGTCATCTTCCTCCCGCTTCTACTGAATCTGCTTTCCTTTTCTGTTTCCATCTCCCTAGGCTCAAAGACTTCCACATAAAGGCAACACTATTTGCACCCATATAGTGATAAACATGGTACCGTTAGTGTGGGAAGCATGTTTTTAGATTATGTAGCCACAAACTTCCAAGAAATATGGTAGTGAGTGGAGTATTGCTTTTTTTTTTCTTTTTAAAGGAGCAACACAGAAATCAATGAGTCAACATTTAAGTTTAGAAAAGCCAAAAGGAAGGCCAAATAAATAATGTTCTTTTAAAATGTTGCATGAGAAAGCTGATACAAAGTAAAAAGAATTCTGATGGGTGGAAAGAACTGTATCATTTATTGGTTATATGTTAATAAACAGCAATTGATGACAACAGTAAATCTTTACTAAGAACCTTCTAGTTATTAGAAATGGATAGTGGGGCTTGCCTTCTATGATTTTACAGATCCTCTGGGACTTCATTTGTGAGCACATTGATAAAGAAACTTTGAGGGGCGCCTGGGTGGCTCAGTTGGTTAAGCGACTGCCTTCGGCTCAGGTCATGATCCCAGGGTCCTGGGATCGAGTCCCACATCGGGCTCCTGGCTCAGCAGGAAGCCTGCTTCTCCCTCTCCCACTCCCCCTGCTTGTGTTCCTGCTCTCGCTGTCTCTGTCTCTGTCAAATAAATAAATAAATCTTTAAAAAAAAAAAAAAAAAGAAACTTTGACCAATGAGCAGCTCATAAAGTTATCAGTGAGGAAATAAAAAGAAAATGTTCAAGAATTTTCATACTATTCATAAAACCACTCTATTGGCTTTAGAATTTGTAAAATTCAAGGACATCCTATGTCCTTGTCCTATGTCCTATGACATCAAGTTTTACTTTGACAAAAGGAGATAGAATAATTCTAAAATTTTCTACAAAATTCTATTAAAAAATAGATCTATAATAGTCTTATGACTTACGAATGAATTAGTAAGACATTCATTTTCTTAAAAATATACCTTTGATATCACTTTTTATTATTTTCAACTTACTGCAAGATTTTTTTTTTTTTATCTTAAAGCTGCCTGGATTGAGATGAATGGGTGGTTGCTAGTGGTTTTAAATTTTAGAGGTCTTAAAAAGTTCATCATTGACTTCTAAATAGTTTAAGACATGAAACCTACTTGACAGAAAAAAAGTAGTGTCTACATTGTGCTAAAAAATGCAAATAGAACCTATATGAAGAAGATGGCATTAAGCTCTAGCCTGGGAATACATGGAGCTTTTTAATTAATTAATTAATTAATTAATTTTTATTTTATTGTTATGTTAGTCACCATACAATACATCACTGGTTTTTGATGTGGTGATCCACAATCCATTGTTTTCATATAACACCCAGTGCTCCATGCAGTACGTGCCCTCCTTAATACTCATCACAGGGCTAACAAATCCCCCCTCCCCCCTCCCCTCTAAAACCCTGTTTGTTTCTCAGGTCCATAGTCTCTCATGGTTCATCTCTCCCTCCAATTCCCCCCTCCCCATTTTTCCCTTCCTTCTCCTAATGTCCTTCGTGCTATTCCCTATGTTCCACAAATAAGTGAAACCATATGATAATTGACTTTCTCTGCTTGACTTATTTCACTTAGCATAATCTCCTCCAGTCCCGTCCATGTTGATGTAAAAGTTGGGTATTCATCCTTTCTGATGGCTGAGTATACATGGAGCTTTTAATCCATTCACTCAATCTGTACTTTTTGAGGGACCACTCTGGGAATGCTCTAGGTGCCAGGAATTTAGCAGAAGACAAAGGACAATAAACCCTCCTTTCAGGTAGTTTATCTGAGGATAAAGAAAGAAATCAACCAGAACAAATCATGGATATTACAGTGTATTAGAAGTGATGCCCTAGGGCGCCTGGGTGGCTCAGTCGGTTAAGCATCTGCCTTCAGCTCTGGTCATGATCGGATCCAATTCTGCTTCTCCCTCTGCCCCTCCCCCCACTTGTGCTCTCTCTAGCTCACATTCCCTCTCAAATAAATAGATCAAATCTTATGGGGTGCCTGGGTGGCTCAGTCGGTTAAGTGGCTGCCTTCGGCTCAGGTCATGATCCTGGGGTCCTGGGATTGAGCCCCACGTCCGGCTCCCTGCTCAGCAGAGAGCCTGCTTCTCCCTCTCCCTCTGCCTGCCACTCTGCCTACTTGTGCCCTCTATCTCTCTGTCAAATAAATAAATAAAATCTTAAAAAAAAAGAAGATCAAATCTTAAAAAAAAAAAAAAAAAGAAGTGATGCCCTAAATGCTATGGAGAGAAATAAAGCAAATAAGGTTATAAGGAGGAGGGGGTTGTAATTAAATTGGGATTATCAGGGAAGGGCTCACAGGGCAGATGAGCCTTGTGCAAACACCTGCAGAGGGTGAGTGAGAAAGGATAGCTGTCTGGATGCATGTCTGCAGACTCATCCACTCATCTTTCCGGGCCCAGGACAAGCCCCCCAATTCCCCTGCTTACTGAAATCGCCACCTACCAATCTGGAGTGGTTTGCCTGGGTCTCCAAACCACACTAGCGCCGGCTTCAGATCACACGTGAGAAGCTCCTGAGGAAGCTGCAAACTAACAAGGTCTTTTTGTCATGAGCTACAGAGCAATTGGACGGTCCTGGGCAGAGGCTCAGGGGATGTTTTACCAATGATCCCGACTGCTGCTTTGGCGAGTAGCCTGTAGGGTCTCCAGGGTGGAAGCAGGGAGCGCAGACGGAGGTGACGGCAGTAATCCAAGTGAGAGATGCTGGTGGCAGACCAGGGTGTCACAGCAGAGAAGTAGAATTCTTCATACCGTAGTTTGAAGAAAGAGTGGCAGTTTGCTACTTTCTGCCTACTGGGAGAGGGGAAGAAAAGAGAGCGGAGGACGACTCCAAGTTGTTGGTGTGCCAGCCCTGGGGAAGGATGTGGTCGCCACTCCTTCCGAGATGAGGGAGGCGGGGCAAGCAGCGGGCCTGGGGAGAAGACAGGGAGTCAGACCCCAGGGAGCTGGGGTTGAGCTGTTAGCGTCCAGGAAGAGAGGCCCAGTGCCGTCCCCCACCGTCGCCCTCCCCCCTCCCTTAGGACCGTAGGAGTTGTGACCCGAGGGAGGCTCGCACCAGCCCTCCAGGAACCGGGTCAGGGGCTGCTGTGTGCCTGAACATGGGGCACACTGGAACGATTCGCCTTACCAGAGGGAGCCATTTTACTGGTTATTCCCAGGCGGTATTAGCCAGCTGTGGCCTTAGCAGCCGGGTGTAGAAATGCGCTTCCAGCGAAAGGCTCCGGCTGCAGACACAAACGTGGGAATTAGCAGCTCGAAGCCTGTGTGTAAAGCTGTCAGATCAACAGAGTGAATTGAGAAGACAGTGTGTCTAATTCTTACTTAGCTCCCATGGTGGGTGGCTTGTGAGGATCAAATGAAACACATACATTACCTGGCACACAGCGCTTAACAGAGAGGGTTGCTGTTTTTTATTAATAAACCCATTTGTAGGAGTTTGTCCCTGGGCAACATCCAGTCCAGACAAGGGGGTACGCGTTTTGCACCCCCCCCCCCCCCCCCACAGAGGTCGAGGAAGAAGCAACGGCTGGATGTGGTTGAGATGACTGGCCGGGATAGATGGCTGGGTCTCAGGCCAATCCTTTCATTTTACCAGGGGGTGGCGGAGGCTGGGGGGAAGCTCGGCGCAGCTAACCGGCGGCCGAAAGGGCTTTCCCCGCCCGCCGGCCGCTGTGCTCCCCGCCTGCCCCACCCGACCCGGCCCGCTACCCCTCCAGCCAGAGCCCAAGCCCGCGCCTCCCCGACGCACGTCGGCCTCTCCAGCGTCTAAGTTCCCGGAAGCCCCGGTCCGTGGCTGCCCGCGCCGCGGCTGACAGGCCACGCGGAGGAGGCGCCGAGGTGCCCGGCGCAGGCCGAAGCCGGAGCCGGCCTCCCCGGCAGCTGGAGCGAGAAGGAAGGGCGGCGGGGCAGGGCCCGGCTGGCGCGCGGCAGCGGGGCGCACTTGGGCTCTCTCCGCGCGCGGGCCACACGGGGAACGGGGCACCCATGCACCCGCCAGCCACGGGCGGGGTCGGGAATGAACACGCTGGAAAAGGAGGCGGTCGAGTCTCCGCCCGGCCGGAGCCTGGGGCTGCAGCCCCGGGGCGGGCAGTGGGGCGGGGCTGCGAAAGTTGAGTATTAGTCGCCGAGGGCTGGGCTCCGCGCAGGAGCGCCGGCCGCCGGGACCGTAGAAGGCTGGCGCGGGCGGGGTAGGTGTGGCTCTGCCTGCGTGACCCGAGCCCCGGTCCCGGTTGCCGTTGCCTCCCGCAGCTGCAGCCTCTCAGCCATGGGCGCCGTCTGGTCCGCCCTGCTGGTCGGAGGGGGCCTGGCCGGGGCGATTTTCGTGTGGCTGCTGAGGGACACGGGGAAGGAGAGCGACGCGGAGCAGAAGGACGCCCCTCCTGGGGACGCTGCGGCTCCGGGAGGCGATCAGGATGGCGCCGGGGGACTGAGCCCTGGACCTTCCAGGCGGGAGCTGGTCACCAAACCAGGTACTCTTCCTCCCACGTCTCGAGGGCAGATCTGCCAGGGAGCTTTTGAAGTTCGCCGAGGGAGGAAAAAAAACCCACCTGGAGTTTTTCTCGCGGCCCCTCTCCGCGGACTAGCCTCCTCTGCCCGGGGCACGACCCTCCCCACGCCTCGCATTTTCCCCGGTGCGCACGCGCCGGGCAGGTTTTTCGCCTCGCGGAGGCCCCGGAGGTTCCCTTACCCATCGTCCGAGGGCAGCGCCCGGCAGAGTCTCTGCGCCCGGCGCCCGCCCGGGAGGACCTGTCTGGCCCCTCCGGCCGGGGCGGGGCAGGCGGGGCGGGGGCGGGGGTGCGGAACGGGCTCCTGCGCTTGGCGGCGCTTGGCGCAGTGCGGGCGGCTGCAGCGGCGGCGCCCCTTCTGGGCCTTACAAAAGGAGTGCTTAGGTTCAGGGGGATCCTACAACCCTCTTCAATCTCCGACCGAGCAGGGACACTTTCTCAGTCCCAATCCCATAACTTCACGTCCTCCCATCCCTCACCCCTTGGAAGAGCCGGGTTTGGGAACACCCAGGCTGTGAGCACCTCCCGCTATCTGGACGCTTCTGTCAGGAAGGCAAAGTTCAGGTTGGACTCTGGTCGTGACAGCCTCAGCTGAAGCCTTAAGGCTGCATGCTGGCCACCCATTTCAGAGCTATGGGCCCCGACAGCACAGGGTTGTCTAATACCCCGGGAAGGGACCTACGTAATAGAGGACCCAACACCGATGAGTAGAATTGACATCCAGGTTTGTGTGTGTACATGTTAGCAACTGTGTACTAGCCAAAGTAAGAGCACTGGCAGAAACCCTTAGCTTTCAGTGCCCTCCCTTGGCCAGCTGCCCATGCCTGGACTCCAGCCGAACGGTGAAAATGACGTCTGGGAACTTTATTTTTAGTGGAGTATGTGTTCACGTGTAACCATTTGAAAATCTGCCTCTGTGCTTTTCCTGGGATTGGTTTGGGATGAGCAAAGAGCTCATTTATCTTCTTCTGAAAGCCAGCCTCATGTTTTAGGTTGGAAGACTGGGAATTCAGGGTAATATTTATGTCTCACAACTCCACCATTAAAAAGAGGTAATATATTAAACAAGGCCAACCCCCAACCCCAAGAGAAAAGCCCCATCTTGTGCTGATTGTATGACTTTGGAGATTTCGATCTTGTAGGGAGCTATTCGGAATGTCGGTAAGGTGGCCAAGAAGGAAACTGACCCTTTAGGGAGCTTGGATTGTGCAGTGTCAAGAACATTTTTTTTCTTTTTTAAGTATAAAATGGGAGGGGATGTAAAAAGCCTACCTTTTGTTGAAGAGGTTCCTGCTGCATATGGGGTTGGCAAGGAGAAACCAGCCCTCTCTCCCCACCATCACCCCCAATTCTTGCCCAGCAATTCACTGCCGTCCTTTGTATCTGCCCAGAGCAACAGCAGCTGGGGATCTGCCCACATCTGTGAGAGCTGATCCTCGGTCTGCATGCAGTTCCTAGGAGTACAAGTGTACTCTTAGGGTCTGTGGGGTAGCCACGAGGATCTTTGCCCCGAAGGTGGAACAGCAGTTTTTGATGATAGAAGCTGAACAACATGGCTGCATGCCACCGTGGCCTGGACTGCGGAGATCAGGGACCAGGACAGGGTTACAAGGCTGCCTCTACAACTTGCCACTTCATTTACACTCTTGTGTGGGCACCCTGATGTGCCTTTTATTGCTGGATATGCATGCATATTCTTAGAGTACACTGTTGGTTCAGTTAGTGTCTGAACTCCGTAATTAAGTACTTATTTTGAATCAAGATGGATTTTGTGAGCTGCAGGTAGATTAGTGGTGAAGTCTTCAATAACTAAACCTATTTTCTCAGCCTTTTTTCTCACAAGAACTGCCTAACACTATTAATATTTTCCCTTTGGTTTTTTAGAGCATCTTCAAGAAAGCAATGGATGTTTGGTTTCAGAGACCAAAGGCCATGGTAACTTACAGGATGCAGCATGGAGACTGCAGAGTCCTTCTGGAAAAGACAGTGATTGTGACAGTTCAAGAGAGCATGTTCCTTCTGGACAGTTTCCAGACACAGAATCTCTAGCTACATCGGAGACTGGTAACTCTCGGGGTTACTCTGAAGTTTCAAGAAATGAAAGCCTTGAATCTCCTATAGGAGGATGGGGATTCCAGAAAGGACAAGAGGCACTTGCTAAAGTAGCTTCCTGTTTTGCAGAAAAGTTGTATTCTAGCAACCTGGTCATTGACAGAGCCAAAGAAGTGAGCCTTGCACAGTTGAGCAGTCAGGACCGGGCCGACAGTGAGGACTGGGAAGTGGTGTCCAGGCACTCATCTTGGGGAGATGTCGGTTTGGGTGGCAGTCTTGAGGCTCCAGTGTTAAGCCCAAACCAGGGAATGGACTGTGACAGAAGCACTATTATGGAACCAAGAGGTCAGGAAGTGGATGTGAGCCGAAAAAAGATAGCAGTGGTGTCTTCAGGGTCTCAGCGAGTCAGTGTCCAGTTCCAGGTGCATTATATCACAAGCACTGGGACGCAATTCGTTGCAATAACTGGAGACCACGAGAGTCTTGGGAGGTGGAAGGCCTACATCACACTCCAGCGTAGCAAGGATGGGTTCTGGTTTCGTTCTGTGCCCCTGCCCACAGATACGGTGGTGGAATGGAAGTTTGTAGTGGTAGACAATGGGGAGATTACCCGCTGGGAAGAATGCAGCAACAGGTTCCTCGACACTGGCCACGAGGATAAAGTGGTTCAGAAGTGGTGGGGGATTCACTGATTCAGTGTTTCAAAGTACCAGAGAGGCTGTTGCAGAATCTGGAAAAAGCTAAGTTTGTGGAGCACATTGAATAATTTTAAATAAAGGAAGTAGAACTCCAAATTTAGCCATCAGCGTTGTTTCAAATTTGCCAGTGGTTTTTGTCTAATGTGCAGAAATATATATATGTAGGTAATGCTTTCAGTGAGCGTGGCCTTTTTTCCCCCATGGCATTGATGGGTGGATTTTTGCTGATCCATCATTACACTTCAGGGCTTGGTCCTCTTGGGGCATGACTTGGCCACGCCTCAGGTGTGGATTGGCCAGGACACACACACACCACCCAGCTGCACAGGGTTCAAGCTTGAGCCTCTGGCTGATCCTTAAGCCCAGGAGTGAAGCAAGCCTCATTCGAAAAGAGCTGCTTTCCTGTTGGTACAACTGGAGAAACTCTCTCTTTACTACATGCACACTTTATATTTAAAAATAATTAATGCCATATGCAACTGTGATCAGAGATATCTGGTCGCAAATATGACTAGCAAGGATGTGAAGACTTCCCAGTGTTTTTGTTTTGTTTTTTTTTGCTTGATTTTACCTGCTAGCTGTGGTTTGAAGGTAGCAAGTAAGTTGTTGTCTTAATGATGGCAAACTGGTGTAGAAACAAGGGGCCTAGTCAGAGTGGGTCACTGGGAGGAGCCCACGAGGAGAGGGAACAGGAATGCCATTAAGGTGTAGGCTGAGTGAGGTGTCCTGCATGATGCTCCTAGAGGCCTGGGAGGTCCAGGTACAGCCTGACTGCAGGGGGGGACACAGCCGTCATTTACCTCTAGGGCCTTTGTAGGACTGTCTCTCCCCTTGCCCCTCCTCTCTCACGGGTCTGGACTGACAGATAGACTGGTCCATAGCAGTCATTTCTCCTGCCCTCTCCTTTCAGACCAGTAGCTATCTTGGGTAACAAAATTATAACAGGACAGTGATACAGAAGTACATCTT